TCTGTGCGCAAAGGCTGCCCTAAGAACGTAAATCAAACAAGAGAGAGGGCATTCTGGTCTCTGAAACAGATTCCAAATTATTTTTTTTCTAAAACTTCAACAAAAATAGATATTAGTCTTTTGGGGTTTAATTTAATCCATTTTAGTGTTCCAGTGAGGTAAAATATTCCTTAAATCTTCTGTAATCTGCAGGCATGGTCATCGGATAACTGAGCCAGAAAAATGCTGCGCTCTAGTGGACATTACAAGAAACTACATCACTCTGGATTAGACTGACCTTAGTTTTTTAACCAGTTAATACAAAATCTGTCATTTTTACCTGAATCTTAATTCAACGGAACTTAGCAGGTAAAGACAGAAAACACTGGAAAGAAAAACAGCGGCTGTGTGCTTAAAGAGAACTAAGCTGCCATTTTCACTTTTTGTGTAGAGAGCATTCACGTGGAGGTTAAAGGTCTTTTGCATGCCATGACCCCACGGGAGCAGCTGAGGAAGATGACTGCACTGGGTGAACAGGGGGCTATGGATGAGAAGCACTGGTATCGACTGGTCAACGGGATGTCAGCTGGAGGTGAAAAAATTAATTTGCTCCAAATCTAGAGTTAAAAGGGTGCTAAATTGAGCCCGGTGCATTGGTTTTAATACAGCTTGAGCAGTCTGTGCATGTGTCTGATTTATTTTTTTTCTCTGACCTGTGCAGCTTCTTCTCTTGCAGAACTCAGGCAACGGCAGGAGCTTATAATGAGGAACCAGATGGCCATGGCACCACAGATCCTCGCCCAGGGTCAACAGAGGTTACAGGGGGTCCCGACACAGTTTGAACCTCGTTTCATGGAAAGGTCTGCACATGAATTTAATCTCAAACTTCATGACTTTCATACCCTCCTCAAATTCAGATGCAAACATCTTACAGCTAATTTTCTAACTTTTCTCTCACCTTAAATCCGTCCCCAAACTTTATGATTTGACTTCACTTCCTCTGCATCCTAAAAAAGCAGATGTGGCAGAAATTAGTTCAGTTTCTACAAATTTTTGTATCACAAGCCCAAAAGCTTTGGGATGCATTGGAAGATGTAGAACCCCCTTTTGTGTGAAATGAAGGCTGGAATTCCTCCCAACAACCGACGTGATGACAGACGATCTTGTTTGATTTTCTATCATCAGAGAATTGGTTCCTCCCGCTGAGATGGTATCATCTGAAGCCAGACAGATGCACCTCGGACCTCACCTTGGTCCAGCTCTACCCCCTCATGCCAATGTCCTGCCTGGGAGAGCGTTCCCTGGACCAGGTCATCAGACTTCTCCAACACAGTTTGTAAAGTTTTGAGACAACAGTAATCATTTAAACATTTTATATGATTTTTTTTTTTTGTCATTCTCAGCTGGTTACAGCTTCTTGCCTTCAGAGCCCATGGAAACAGTTGCCCGGCGACAGGAGCTCATACACAAGCAAAATATAGCAAGGTAGTGCGTGCACAAACATCATCAATAACTCAGAAAAATAGTCCACCCATACACAAGTTTGCATCAGTTTCTGCTAAACAACACAATATAATTCAGACCCTTTTTGTCCTCATCGTTAAAATGAAGGTTTTTGTTTCATGTCAGAATGGAGATGAATGCCATCCTGCACCAGAAAGAGCTGGAGAACGCTCACCAGAAAGGGCTGATGGGAATTGAAAACTCTGTGTCGTACCCTTCTAACCCCATGCTGTACCGAGGTCGTCAGCGCCTGCCAGACAGCCACGATGTCTATGTCCATCGTCCTTCCCTGGACGAGCTACACTCCAACAGTATTCTGATGTCAGCCAGCCCCTACCCCCCAATCAGCACACTGCACAGAGAGAGGGGTCGGAGGGCAGGGAGGAGGCCGATTGTTCACAAGACAGCTGAAAACCATGCAGTCAACCTGAAGGGCCAAACAGAGGACAAAAGTGTAGAGCAGAGTCCAGAAGCAACATCTGGAGAGGAGAAGGAAATGGAAGCTAAAGGGGACTTGGGAGATGAGTGCACTGCTACTAAGACCCACCATCAGGCCAAAATAGACTCTGAAATGGCTACAGGAGGCAGGAAGAACTACAAAGAGGGGGAGGTGGGCATGCGAAAGGCCTGTACGACCAATCAGGAGGGGTGTTCAGATGTGACCAATGGTGGAACAAATGATAAGGACATGTCCAGCCAGTGTTCTGCCTTCCAGGAGAAATTCATGTATCCTTCCACTGGTGCCACACTGACAGGGATGCCTTACATGTTCCCAGTTCCTGGAAATGGTTTCCTTCCAGCTGGTGAGTTTAGGGAAATAAATAAAAGCACAATAACACCACTGAAGTTGTAAGTTCTTGAATTTTTTTTTCTGTTTTCAAGGTCCAACAAACATCTTTCTTAATGGTGATGATGCTCCTGAAGACATAAGAAAGTGGACAGTTAACGATGTTTATAACTTTGTAAACAGCATTCCTACATGTGCAGAATACGCTCAGGTTAATATCACAACACTCTGTACACGTCACTTCTTCTTCTTCTGTCTGTTTGTGTCTTTGTTGATTTCATATAAAATTATTTTCCCAGACGTTCAAAGATCACATGATTGATGGGGAGACACTGCCTCTGCTTTCAGAGGAGCACCTACTGGACACACTGGGACTCAAACTGGGACCAGCTCTGAAGATACGCTCACAGGTGCTCAAACAATGAAAATATAAATTATATACATGTACGTTTGTCATCATTTAATGTTTACACTTAGATGTTTTTGGAGTGCTGTAAGCAAATGGTATCCTCTTGAATCATAATCTGAATTATGGAAATAAAAATTTAAATAAAAGTTTTGCATATGCTCATAGGTTTTAAAATACTCCCAGGTGACAGAAGAATTGCTTCAAAATTAAATATTTGCATCACAGAGGATACACAATATCTAATGTGCTCTTGTTTTGTTTCAATCATTAAGATTTGAGCATACAGACAATCATCACGCAGAATGAAGCGTACACTTTTGCAGAACCTATATCTGACATTCGTTTTCCTCACATCTCTGCAGGTGTCCAGACGAATGGGCAGCATGTTGTACATGATGAACCTACCGATCTCCGGTGCCACCCTGCAGACCTCCTCTGAGAAGCCCGGGGACCGTTCCCCAGACATCAGCTCACCTGTTAACTGCAACAGCGAGGATTTGATGGCAAGCCCAAGAGACCCTGATGTAATCAAATCTGCTGAGCACCTTCATGAGGCTGAAAACCATTCACCTCCACCAGCCAGCAGTGAGACAGTCTGATCACTGGTTAAATAAAATCGGAGCCAGGAACCGCCTGTCCCTTCAGGCCCAATGAACTGTTTCATGAGGATTGGATTTACTGGGTTGAAAAGGCTTTTTAAGTACTGTGACAAGTTGTCTACTACTCATTTGTGTTTTTTTTATAAATGTACATTTTTTTCATAGAATAAGAAGAAGAAACAATCTTTTATATCAGGGATTCCCAAATTGGGGATCTTTGCTGAGGGTATAGCAAGATTTTATTAGTAAAAATTACATTTATGTCCCAATAACACACCCTAGAGTATAAGTTAGAGCTCTGTATGTCTGCATAAAAATGGTAAATGATCACATTTAACGTGTGTATGCATGTAGGAGCTGGGGTTGGGGGGTCCTGGCTTGTCTTGGACACAAGCAAGAGGGCCCTCAAAGAAATAATGTTGGTAACCACTGTTTTATTTAACGCTTCTCAAGATAAAAATCACGAGGCAAATGATAAAAACAAAAAAATCCATAATACAAAAGATTAAAAAATAATTAAAATATATACAATTGGAAAAAGTGAAAAAATCGTGATTAAAAATGTGAGGAAAGGGAAAGAGAAAATTCATAAGAAAGAGGTAATCAGTAGATCCTAGGAAAGGCAGAATTGGTATAAAGAGCTGAATGAGCAGAAAGCGGCAGTGATGAAGAATCAACCAAAGTCACACAAAAGCCAGCCTGAACAAGTGTTTTCAGCTGCTTTTTAAAAGGAGTCCACTGAGTCCACTGATCTCAGGCTCAGGGGAGAGAGTTCCAGAGTCTGGGGGCCACAGCAGCAAATGATCTGTCACCTTTTAGCCTGGTGCGCTGCACAACCAGTAGGCTTTGGTCACTGGACCTCAGGGACCTGCTCGAAGTGTAGGGACTGAGAAGATCACCAGTGTATGATGGTGTTTGTCCATGTCAGACCCTGAAAACCAGAACCAGGATCTTTAAATGAACCCTGAAGTTGACTGGCAGGAGGAGAAGCGGGGTGATGTGGGTGTGTTAGGAGGACTTGGTCAGAAGCCGAGCACAGGTATTCTGAACCACCTGTAGACGGTTCAGGGAGGTTTTGTTCAGATACATGAAAAGCGAGTTGCAGTGTCGCGAGCGTGTACTTTTATTGGTTCCGTTAGAACCTTAGAATGCGCTGCGTTTTCAGGGAGGTTGAGGCCGCAGGTGAGTTTTATCGTACTGACCCTGGTTTGGACTCCCTAATTAGAACTCGTTTTCTATTTTAAGGTGGAATGAAGATTGTCGTACTTGTTCTTCTGTGATAACACACTTCCCTTTTAACTCTCCCGTTATTTAATGGTTTTAAATACTAGGGCGGAAGTTCACTAGAGGCCATCTATGTGACTATTATTTGGGTCCTATCAGTATTAATTTGCGCCTCCGTCAGCAATGTGGGCGGTGGTAGCTAGAAAATGATTCCTGTTAGTTGATCAGGCTAACATGGATTTATCAATTAATCTAATTAATCCACCCTTTGAAATGGTAACTTCCCACGCTAAACAGAGACTTTTTCAGTGCACAACAGAGCCTGTTTGAACCATCGAACCATTATGATCTATAATCCTTAGGGTGTCCCACTACCAAGGAGGAGGGGAGACTAGCTCCCATTACCTAAGGTATCTTTTCTTAATCTGTCACAAACTGAAAACAAGTCCTGAAGCACAGGAACAAGCAAGTCAAGGTGGCTTACCTCTCCTTTAGGTCTGGTCGGGGCTCCCAACTCAAAAGGCTAAAAGAGCCTTTAAGAATCGAGAACTAGGATTCTGTTTCCAAAAACAATTATTTCAAAATTAAAAAATACAAAAAAGAGTAAATATAAGATTAACAATCCCCTTAGGAGGATGCTGCTTCTAAAAAATCTTTCTGAGAATAACTGCTGCTACTTCGTCAACTTGTGTCAACTCTAACTGTCTAAGTCCAAGTCTCTCTCTCTCTCTAACTTCTCTCATCGTCCTCCGACGACCTCTTCTATCCCACCTCTACTCTCTTACTCTCTACCACTGCTCTGTCTCTCTTTAACTGCTCTTTTTATATCATTCTAAAAAACTGCCAAGCCAAACATTTTCCATAGTGAAGCAATATCTCAACTAATCATGAGACAGCCTAAACAATGTAATCTTTTGCCAGTTACATACATCTTTTTATCACAAGACAGTAAAACAATGTGATTATTTGTCAGTTTCATATCTTAGTCAAACACAAGACAGCCAAACCCATATGATGTTATACTTGTAAGCTGGTCTCAGTCTCCACTCAAAGTCCAGAACTTTCCACAAAGGACTTTCATTTCCTGAGATGTCTCTTCAGGTGGCCTTCTTCGGTACCACCCCTTCTGCTGTTTCCTGTTCAGTTGGACCACTCCTCCTCATCTTCTGCCTGATTCCACTCGCACAAGCGAGCTCGAGCTCATCTTTGCGCTCCTTCTGACCACCTCCATTGTTTCTGGCATGCGAGAGCTTGCAACAGCAGTAGTCTAAGCGTGAGGAGATGAAGGAGTGGATAACTGTCTCAAGTTCAGAGTGGGACAGAATGGGACTCAGCTTCCTGAGCTGGAAGAAAGAAGATGCGAACAAGAGAACTGACATGAGAAACCAGGGAGAGAGCTGGGTCGAAGGTCACAACAAGATTCCTGACAGAGGGTTTAGTGTGAGAAGCAAGCTGACCAAGAGAGTCTCTGACTTTGGGAACCAGCTTGTCTGTATAAGCTCCCAGCCATCCAGGTTTTGATAGAGTCTAAGCAGGTGTGTAACAGCTGCAGCTTAGACATCTCATGGGGCTTAAAGGAGATGTACAGTTGGGCTCAGGATGTGCTGAAGAGGAAACAGATAGAGGAGGAAAAGTAGAGACTCCACTACAGAACCTTTTGGGACACCATGGGTGAGGGAGGTGGAGGAGGACCGAAACTTGGAGACGGCCACAGAGAAGGAGCGCTCACACAGATAAGAGGAGAACCACTCTAGAGAGGATCCTGATAGGCCTACCCAGTCTCTCAGCCTCTCCAGTAGCAGGTGATGGTCAACAGTGTTGAAGGCTGCCGTCAGGTCCAGCAGGACCAGAACAGAACAGTCCCCTGCATCACTGTGAGTCAGAAGGTCATTAGAGACCCTAAGAAGAGCTTTTTCAGTAGAATGAGCTCTATGAAAACCTGACTGAAATCTAACATAGATGTCATGTTCATCAAGAGCAGTTGTGGGTTAAGCACAACAACTCATACAATGAAATAAACCTAGTGTATTGTAAAAAAGAAACACTGAAATTATTTAAGACACTTTTCCCAGTGCACACTGTAGATTCAGTTTGATTGAAAATTTCCTATTTTTCTTTAATGCAGGAAATGTGTTTTTAGAAATAGTAATGACTTTGACAATTTTTTAAACCAAAAGCTGTATTTAAATACATATGTGAATTGTAAATTCAAGGTTTAGATTTGTTTTAATTTTGCCTTTTTGTATTTTGCATTTACTTGATTGTAAATAAAATGTTTTTCTATATAGGAATCAGAGGTAAAACCTGTGTGTGTGTGGGGGGGGGGGCAGGGAGAGAGAGAGAGAGAGAGAGAGAGAGAGAGAGAGAGAGAGAGAGAGAGAGAGAGAGAGAGAGAGAGAGAGAGAGAATAATTTTGTTCTCACAAAGTTAAAAAGTAACAAAGTTACAGAAGTTATAAAATAACAGTTGTTGCGTTTGGAATGTTTATCTGTTCACTGTTTCTCTATTCCGTTGAACATTATTGAGACATTGTGATACAGTTTTAGAAATATAATATTCAAATAAGAACAAAATTACTTATAAATAATATTAAATGTTATGCAAACTGTCTTACTTTTATATGTAAGACAGTAGAATAACACCAAAGTACTACAGTAAACTCCAAATGCTTTCCTGTAGTAGTCTCGCGAGATTTGATGTGAGTGCGCGACGCTTCGCTCCAACGAAGCTAAGTTGGAGGATCATGGCGGAGCGCAGGAGGCATAAGAAGCGGATCCAGGTAACATCACTTCATTCATGATAAAATTATACTGCTCCTGTGCGTCAATGTTACACAAACATAATCAGGCACTGAATTTGTATCTTACTCTGGGATCCAAAATGTTTACGGCAGCATCTGCACTCGTCGTTTAAAGGCAGCAGTTGGAAACAGATGGAGGCTAACGAACGCTATCGTTAGCATGGCACCGAAAACAAACAGCAGTTGTGTTCAACAGTTATGCATATTTGATTATTTTCACTTCCGTTAGCACCCGCGTGTTGGTTTAGATGTGATGGCGTAAATACTCATTCTGCTGTTTTGTCTCAGCAGTAGGTATTTCACGTCAATCGAAACTGAACCGGTAATGGTTTGCTTGCTAAGCTGCGTCAGCTTTAACCAGACGTGTTTACATAACGTAAAGCAATCTGTGGAAAATAATCAGTGAGTCAACACTACATAGTCCTGTATAACCCTGCTGAGCTCAGATCAAATGTGTCTTGTCTGCTGGAGCACTCAGTAGGTAACAACTTAGATTTTAATCAACGTGACAGTTTACAAAGTAGTTACAGGTTGTTTTGACGCCTCCTATATAACGATACATCATACATTTTACGATGTAAGTTGTTAGTTGTTAAAAAACGGATTTAATAAAGGTTTCTGTTGTGTGTTTGAGGATGCTCAAATCTCAACTCTAGATTAGACCAGTAAACAAACCAGGTGAAGACTTCCATCCTCTTCCTCATGCTGCGTGGCCAGAGGCAGTTGGACAAGATGAAGTAGTGCTGAATATTTCTGTCTCTCATTTTTTAACAAGTACAACTCTTATGGCAGCTCAGCAGTTAAAATGTTCTTTTTGAGTTGTCACATATTTCTATAATTTCTTTTTTTATGTTCAGTGTCATGCTAAGATTTTTTAAAATATAAAACTCAAAATCAATTCACAGTTTTGCATCAGTCATTGTGGTTGTTGTTTATCCTAAAACTGCTCCATTTTATTTGAGATGCTTTGCAACACTTGTTTTTAAAGCATATCAAAAATGCCTGGTTCAATGTAACTGTTGTATCAAACTTTTAGGTTAAATGTGTTGTGATTCTCCAGATTTGCAGACTTAAAGACACAAACTTTTGTTTCCTGCTTCAGGAGGTGAGCGAGCCCACCAAGGAGGAGAAGGTGGTGGCTAAGTACCTAAGATTTAACTGCCCCACCAAGTCTACAAACATGATGGGCCACAGAGTGGACTACTTCGTTGGTTAGTACTCGTCTGAACACGGCGCCAGTTTTTCATTCTGCAGATAACTTTGAATTAGCTATTTTTATACATTTCACCAGGTTTAATGAAGATCAACTCATTAGGTTTTGGGTTGAGTAAAATAAAAATTTCACACACTGCGAAAATCCTCATGCAATGTTTTGTGATTCTGCTTCAAATGCATGATAAGGTTGGATGTATTAATCTTCCGCGGTTATGTTCCACCACGGGAAACTTGTGCATGACAAGTGTTGCACTGAGCCAAACTGTCTTTCGAACTTTAACGAAAAATACAGCCACATGGCCGACATTGTTCCTTGCTACTTACACACTGTTCTGATCACGTGGACTTTGCATGCTGGATCTGGGCGCTGATGGATAGAATTGCTTGAATGGAATTTAAAGTGGAACGTACTGCTAATATCTGAGATTTTTGATGCAGTCCGATATAATCCATTGCAGTGTTATTGGGCCGATATCCGGTATGGTGTTCAGAAAACAACCTGTCCCTGAACACCAAGAAAACAAAAGAGCTTATTGTCGACTTCAGGAGACACAGCACTGACTTGGCCCCCCTCTAAATCAACGGGGAGTGTGTGGAGAGGGTCCACACACTCCGGTTCCTTGGTGTCCTCATCCCCGCTGACATCTCCTGGGCGGAAAACATCTCAGCGGTCATCAAGAAGGCCCAACAGCGGCTGCACTTCCTGAGAGTCCTCAGGAAGTACAAAATGAACTCAGACCTGCTGCTGACCTTCTACCGCTCGTCCATTGAGAGCCTGCTAACCTACTGTATCACGGTATGGTACGGCAGCTGCACCAAGGCAGATAGAGTGAGGCTTCAGAGTGTGGTAAAGACAGCACAGAAGATCATCGGCTGTCCTCTCCCCTCCATGATGGACATTTATTCCTCCCGCTGCCTCAGTAGTGCAGCAAACATCATCAAGGACAGCTCCCACCCTGGCTTCAACATGTTCAGACTGCTTCCCTCAGGGAAGCGCTACAGGTGCATTAATACAAAAACCCACAGACTCAAAAACAGTTTCTTCCCCAAAGCAATAACCACCCTGAACTCACACATGCACCGATAACACAGCCCCCCACTTCCCACTTCCTCCATTGACCACCACTATCTATTGATACCAAATTCCATGTGCAATAATTGTATATACATAACATTACTGTCCAAATGTACATAGCGCTGCAGAACTGTCTCCCCCTCCCTCCCCCCCAAGTATGTTTGTTTTACACTGAGTAGGAGATGCTCTGTATCTCACTTTACACCTGTATAGTGACAATAAAGGCATTCTATTCTATTCTAAAGGGTAAATGTTGTGTATTTATATAGCACCATCTTAGAGTTCTACAACCCCCCAAGGTGCTTCACAACACAGTCAGTTATCCACCCTTACTGGTGATGATGATGAGCCACAATGCAGCCACAACTGTCCAGGGGCGCACTGATGAAAGCCACAAGTCAAACTGTGCCACCATGCAGCATGGCGGCACAGTTAGTAGCACTGTTGCATTGCAGCAAAATGTCTGCAGGTTAAAATCCCAGCTGTGACCTTTCTACAAGGAGTCTGCAACTCTGCATATTAACCTCATCCATGCAGGTGTCCTCCCACAAGCTAAACCCAAACAGGTTAAATTGGAATTTGCTTTGGATTAACTCATTCGCTGCCAGCCGTTTCCTGATCGGTTAAGCCCTTCGCTGCCAGCGTTTCTCACCGTTTTTACTGTTTGTTTGTGTTTTTAAGATTCACAGAACGTTGCGCGCTAGGATGACTTCGGCGGCGGCGCCAAAACTAAGTGGAGACTCACCTCTTACATCAGGAAGAATCCGCGCGTTTCAAGCTTTATCCGTTCTTTCATAATCCGTTGTTGAATTATGATCAACAAAAGCTTTTATGGTTCATGCCTCACTTTTTTTACAGCAGTGGCCCAAAACAATCTCCTAACACATGGATTTTCTGCGTCCTGATCACGTGACGTGTGACGTATGCGGATGAAGATCGGCTTTAGAGCTGAGATGTTTGTTCTCACGATGTGGGGGCTCGTTCCGACACCCACACAGTAAAAAGATGCAAATGATGACTTTAGTCGTCATTGGCAGTGAATGAGTTAGTTTCCTACGTGAGTGAGCAAAGGTTTTTACAGCTGACAGGTCTGGAGAGTCGCTAATATAAAATCTAAGTTGTGGAAGCACAATACTATGAGGTAGTGATTGTAGCTGTTTCGTTCAGCTCGTTGTTAAGCAGTCAGAGGATTGTTAGAAGTGTTAATTGTCTGTAAGCAGGAAGCTGTTTTCACTAAAAAGCTTTCATAAGCTCGCTGTCAAGTTCGTAAAGGAAACCAACCATGGCTGAGCTAGTGTTGGGACTCCTTTAGATGCCAAATGAATAATAAAGCTAGTATTGAGTGGTGCTAAGGTTGATTTATTAACTAACCCCTTAAGCCTGATTCATGCTTCTGCGTCAGTGCGGAGACACGCAACGCCATTATCCGTCCTTGTGGGCCTGCTGGAGAGCTCCGCAAGGACGGACAGAGTCGAGTTCTCTTTTCTAAACATCCATCCGTCGAGACAGACAACGCAAGCTTGTGATTGGTCAGGACGCCGCTGTCGTCTACACCGCCGCCATTGCGCCCTCAAAAACATAAAGAGAGCCGAGGATAACTAGCGGTAGACACAGAGCAGCTTGAAGAATACCTCGCGAAAAAAACTCTAAAAACATGAACGTTTAATTCCCCCGTGACTGGAGGAGTGAAAAGATGCACAGCAAGCGTTTTATTTGTGGACGGAAATGACAGGAAGCGTGGGTTTAGCAGTGGCGAGCGCATGAAGAGGTGGAGGAGGATGAGAGACAAATTTGTCTGTGTTAAAAAGTCTCTTATATACAAAAAACACAATATAAACGCACTATCTTGGACCGATACATGACAGGATACCACAGAACAGCGCTACGCCCTCTGTTGTCCTGGCGAGGGATTGCTTTGCAACACTCCCCATGTGACGGAGAAGCATGAGGGCAAAGCATCTCCATCCGTGCGTGCGTGTCTCTCCCTTGTGGAGCTGATGGAGAAGCATGAATCAGGCTTTATAACACAGTTGAGGCATAGGATGGAAAATCCACTTTTTGGAGCTTTTTACCATGTGATATTGTGTTTTTCCTTATGAAAACAAAAATCCAAACTCGTTTTTGGCAGCATTCATGCATTTTCCTGTTTCAGCTGCAAATTTTGAGTTTTACTTTGAAAATCCTGTACCGCGCCATTGGAAACGAATCTCCCAAAAGCTAATCTCTTCTGAAACCCGTCTCTCCCCTGGCCAGCACAGGATATGTATCTTAGGTGACTATTGCTTCGTTACTGACTTTGTGGTGCAATGTTTAGAGTGCCAGACTGGCATGTAGCTCTGCTCTGGTTTGCATCTGACTGACAGACTGAGCAGTATATTTTTCTTCGTTTTTAGCTACACTTGCCAGGATTATGTTTTCGACCTTTTATTGATAAACTTTAAAAAGTAAGGAATAATCTTCTTTTTTTTTTTTTTTTTACTTTTTTTAGCCAGTGTGAGTCCATGTGAGGTGAGCAGAGTAAATCAACTAAAATGCTGCTTGAAAATGACCAAATTCAATGCTGATGTTTAGAGGCACAAAATGTTTTGCAGAAAATAATCAATAAACCTAAAGTATAAAAACATTAATTCTGCTTCAGCTGGCTAAATAAATTACTGCCGAGTGCTGACACCACCGGGAGTCAAGCTGGCGTCAGCACGTTAAAACTAGATGAAAGGAGCTTAAACCCGGAACTACCAAGGCCAGTACAACAGCAAGCAGGCCTAAGATGCTGTTATAGGTGCGTTTTGTTAGAGCTTCATTGAATCGAACCGTTACGTTTCCGGTTGTAAAATCAGGCTGATGAAAATTACTTATATTTAAGATAAATGACATCTCAATAGTGTCATTGACTTGTTATCATATACTGTGCCTACCTCAAAGGTGTAAAATAACATGATATGGAACATTTTTATTGATCACTGTGGAGACTTTCTAAAATAAAGCCAGATTGTGTTCCTGTGTTGCTGCATGTAGCTTCCAAGGCAGTGGACTGTCTTCTGGACTCCAAGTGGGCCAAAGCTAAGAAGGGAGAGGAGGCGCTGTTCACCACCAGGGAGTCAGTAGTGGATTACTGCAACAGGTCAGCTATATTACACCTTTGCTTTTTAAAACTTCATGTGACACGTGATTACATTTTTTATTTCGCATTGCACAGTGGTGTTGCGTGGAGCAACCGAGTTTACAAACTTAAATACAGAGCACATCTAAGTTGAGCCTTTGGTCTTTCACAGACTCCTAAAGAAGCAGTTCTTCCACCGAGCTCTCAAGGTAATGAAGAAAAAGCCTGAGAAAGATCCCAAGAAAGAAAAAGAGAAGGAAAAATGTAAAACTGATAGCAGCAAGGAAGATGAGAAAAAAGGGAAGAAGGAGAAAGAGAAGGACAAGGAGAAGAAAAAAGAGACTGAGGTTGTCGAAACGAAGAAAGAGAAAAGTGTAAGCGACTCAAGACTCGTAAATATTCATGATTTACTGTGAAATCTGTGCTGATTGAGATCCTAACCCTGCTGTATGAGTTTAAAGGGCAGATCATTAAAACTGTAATGGTCATGTGACACGAGAAGATGTTCCAAAGACAAGAAAACAACTGTGAAAGATCAGTTGGTTTTGGTTGAAGCTAACCACAGATAACTGATAAATAAGTAGTGCTTAGCAAAGAATCCTATTGCGGTTTTTCAGTCTTGACACGCCTGACTCTATATAAATGCAAGTCCTTCATTAACAGGATGACAGTCCTAAGAAGAAGAAAGAGGTGAAGAAGAAGTTTAAACTGGAGCCTCATGAGGATCAACTGTTTTTGGATGGCAATGAGGCGAGAAACTGTGAAGATTCATAAAACCAGAGTGCTTGTGATTGTTTGGTACACAAATAACCTGAAGCTCGTCTCTGTCCTGCAGGTGTATGTGTGGATTTATGATCCCGTCCATTTTAAGACGTTTGCTATGGGCCTAATCCTTGGTAAGACGTCACTAAAAAAATCTTAAAATGGTTTAAAGTAAGTGAAGGATTATCTCATGTGGATCCTTATCTCCCTCTTTAGTTATTGCAGTGATTGCAGCCACACTATTCCCACTGTGGCCAGCTGAAATGCGTGTTGGAGTTTACTATCTGAGTGTTGCAGCCGGCTGCTTTGTAGCCAGTATCCTGCTTCTAGCCGTTGGTGAGTATTTTTAGTGAACTAATGCATTAACCGCCATTTAAAATAAGTAACATATTTTTAGAGTTGGTTGGTTTTCCCTGTGGTGTCCTCTCTCTTCAGCTCGCTGCATCCTCTTCCTGATCATCTGGCTGGTGACCGGTGGCCGGCATCACTTCTGGTTCCTCCCCAACCTGACAGCAGATGTCGGCTTCATCGATTCATTCAGGCCACTCTATACTCACGAGTACAAAGGACCAAAAACCAGCGACAAGAAGGGCTCAGACAAGACCAACGAGAAGGACAGCAGCTCCTCCAACAAGGCTCAAAAGTCAGACAGCGAAGAGAAGTCAGACAGCGAGAAGAAGGATGCAGATGATGAAGAGGAGGATGAGGAAGAGGGCGGGCGAGAAGAGAGGAAAGAGGCAGATGGGGAGGGAAAAGAGGACAGCCAAGACACAGACAGCGACCGCCAGGACGAAGGCTCGCAGCACAGCAACGGAAACGACTTTGAAATGATCACCAGGGAGGAGCTCGAGCAGCACACGGAAGAAGAGGAGGAAGAGGAGGAGGAGGAGGAGACACAAGTGAGAAAAGAAGGGGGCAGCAGTGAGACTAAACCCCAGACTGCTGAAACATAAACTTCTCCCAGTCCCATCACCCTTGTTTTCTCTATCCCTCCCACCCTTCCTGCTGTGACCCCAGGACCTGCTGGAGGCTCCATCTCTCGTTGAGATCTTCCACTAAACAGCACCGGGATAGATGCAACACTCAAAACGTTTACGGCTACCACAATGCATAAAGCATAAATTGAAGCCTTATGATGGATATGATTCCTCCCTCCTAAATGTTATTTATGCTTAACGAAACTGCCTCTGGATGCAATTGCCTGAGGAACCTATCAGACCAAAACACCCCCTTCAGTGGCTGGGCTGTCTTTTTCTTCTTTTTTTTTGTATCTGTGTCATAGTTTCTTTTAGTCCATTCAGCTCAGTGTTTAAGTTCCCTGTCACAGGTTTTAGTCCAGGTCAAATGAAGACAATGCAGAGAAGCCATGTTGAACTAATTGTTAGTCGTGGTGGTGCACATTTCAAATCTTGTTAAAAGCCAGCGAGTCTGATAGTTTTCTCAGGCAGAGCTTAAAGCGGAACGATCCGTGTATCGGCTATGAAACCTGAACTAAGTCAAATGGACCAACTCCTGTAGTTTACTCAAAGAAAACTTCCTACAAAAATCAACCGTCTTTTGACAGATCAAGTGTTTGGATGGCGGTAGTGCAGGTTTTTGAGGTACTAGCCATTTAATTTTTTATGTAAATGGCTCATGATCATAGTGCAATTCTCTCTGTGTGAGCAACTAGACAGCGCTGGCATAGTTTTTGTTTTAAAGTAGCAGAATTAGCTAAATAACAAAAGCTAGATTCCATACAGCTGACTGAATCATTTGTGAACTACCCGATACGAAGTAAATCCAACTCTAGTGCCAAACACAGTAAACATTATGCATGGTTTAAATGTGAAGGGCTGAGTGTGAAAGGAAGAATTTTGTTAATCCGTCTTGAAACTGCAGTGTCAAATTTCTCCAATTGTTTTGCTAAACCGACAGAAAAGCAAGCACAGTACAAGGTTGTTGGTGTGCAACTAAACAAAGATTTTTGGTGTCAATGAAACCATTAGAAAGTCTGTTCGACTCACTGAAGCAAATTTCATTAAGTCTTGCACAAGTCGTGTGAAAATGAGCGTTTTTATGTTAAAATCCAGCTCCACTCACAGGCAGCCGTGGTCCAAGCTTCACTGTCTTCAAACTAGAAATGTTTTAGATGCTCTTTTTAGTCATAGCGAGGATTATATTTAAATATAAAACATAAAAATCTATCATTTATATATGGATTCTATTAATGTATCAGATATGTGCATAAATTACTCAGAGCTTATGAAATCATGACTTCTCTTATGTGTTCGGAGTAAGGTGTCTGTTCGTGTTTTCATATGCTTAAGTGAAATTATTTAAAGGTAACATCTGGGATTAAAAACAAAAAATCTATAGATCTTTACATTTACCAATGTTAACAGAGCGATTGGTCGTGCATTGCCACATCTGCGTTTCGTCTCTCACAGCTGTTCTCACCCTTGACACCAAGCTTCCCTCCAACCCAATCTACCCTTTCTGTGTTTTCATGTTTCTCTAAATCAAATGTGTCCAGACTATTTAGCTTTCTGTTTCCTGCCGTCATTTATTTACAATTTGTAGCTTTTGATTTTCTGGCTTGTTGTCTTTTTGTTTATTTTTCTTCATAACGGGAAAAAGTGCATCTCTGTCTGCAGTTGTCCGCGTTCCAGTGGCTCCACTCAAACCATTTCACAAAGAGAGATTCTCCCAGTTTTTCTTGACTGTTGCACAGTATCAGTCTAGTTGTGTGTTGTAGTGTTATTAATCTATGCTGCTCTCATCACACATTACTGGGGAAAGTAAAGATTTAAATAGAAAACGTCCGTGTTTTATCTCTGGTCAAGAACGCCAAGTCGATATCATTTTTAAAACTGTCTCCTACATTATTGGAGTGTAATTTACTGAAATTGGATCTCTGGAATATATCTGTATGTTATTATTGCAATAAAAACTAGAAAACATTTTGTTAGGTTTGATTTCTTCCCTGTTTTTTGCTTTTGATTGCCGGTGAAAACATTAGTTGAATAAATTGATTAGCTGGCTGGCTGACAAGTTACGAGGCAGGCTCTTTGATGAAGTTAAAAGAAACAAGTGATGAATGAAGATTAAACCTGAGGTCATTTCCCTTTAGCTTAAGAAGCTGCAGAATTCAGTGGTTGGACAACAGCTGACCTTTAAATGTTTGCACACAGGCTGCAAATTCCTTTTGCTTTATTCCACGTAAAGCTACAGACGCAAAAATTAGACTTATTTTCATGTTACTGCTTTCTTTTTAATCATGAAATTAGTTGTTTACCATTCTTGGCCTCATTTCTGCTACATACAATCTGAATCAACCCAAACTTCAGACTAAATGAAGGCTCTGGATTATGTTTTATTTGCATCAGAAAACAATTAGTTCCAGCTTTCCTTGATTGCCTCAAGATATAAATTAAGTTTCAAGTAATTATAATTATTTCCAACTGAAATCTTGAAGTTATGTCATCGAAACATAAATAGAACCTGACATATATTCCTGCTAGAATCCTTTATGTACACATTTACATTTCAGGACTGAGAAGTTCTTATTTCCAATTGACTAATGTTATTTGGATTTTTTACCCATTCATTTAAAAGCCAGTCATGTATTTCTTCTATAGGTAAACATACAAATGAATGGGTTGTCAAACTAAAGCTGTCTACTGAATATTATTCATGACATTTGCGTACTTATCACAGTTTAACTTGTCATTTATTTGTTGTCATTTCTGCATGAGAGACATGCTTTTGCACTAGAAGCTTCAGATAAAACTGCACTGGAATGAGATAATGACCGAGACACTGAATCCCTTTTAGGATGGCTCTTTAAGCTTATTCCATTGCAGTCCAGAGTTTCCCAAACTTCTCCTCAGCCGCAGTGGGAAACTCGGCGTCACCTAGCTGCAACAAAAACATGCGAGGCTTCAGTTTTCTGTATCTGACGAGTCGGACACGTCTGCCAGTCGGGCCTGCCTCTTGCGAACGTTCCAGTGCAAACACTGGGCCAGACTTTCAAACCAGTCGTACACCAGGTCATGACAGCAGATAGATGGAACGGGGTAACAAGAGGTGGTTATCTTAATGCTGTCAGAAGAAATGAAAGAGAAGGAGAGTGGTCAGACATTAAGGAAAGAAAAATGTGATCAACAGCAACAGATAGGTGAATCTCACCAGTCTCCATGCTGGATCTCCTGCCTCCTCCTGCCATCAAATGACACCCACACGTTGTTTCTTGCATCAGGGGACAAGGCGATCTGTTTCAAAGAAAACTCACATCGTCAGTCACAAAATACAAATTAAAACTTCTTTCCCTGAATATTCATCTAAGCCTTTTTACCATGAGTTCTACTCCAGCAGGAACCACGATGGGCCTGAAGGAGAGCGAGTGTGGGCAGATGGGTGTGACCATGATGGCGGGGACATTGGGATGGATCATTGAGGCTCCCGCTGCAGCTGCATATGCTGTGCTCCCAGTAGGGGTGGACACAATCACACCTGGAGGGCAAAAATACTTTAACCGTGTTTATGTGATGGCCAACATTCCTCTGTTAAAAAGTTGAAAAGCATCGGCTGAAAAATAGGATTCCATATTTCAGTCTGCTCACCGTCTCCCTGCACCGAAGTTATGAGTCTTCCGTCCAAGTACAGGTCCACATTGGATAGGTAGGAGGATGGGCCGCGATCCACCACCACCTCATTTAACACCTACACACACACACACACACAGAGGGAGAAAGAGAGAGGCCACAGGTTAGATCAGGGTGGTTTTAGAGACCACTAAGGATGCACAACCTTTACAATCAGAATGCTGTAAAACAACCGGCCCATTGTGTTATCTACAGGTCTGTAACTGACATGTCCTCTTGTGTTTATGTAGCTTTTTAAACTGAGGTTAATTTGAACCAACTGAAACAAAAGCCCATTTAATTGGTTTCATATGGATGTGGAGCAGCTGCACAGCAGTAAAGATTAAAAACTAGATTGTGACGCATCTTCTGCTTCTCTGGAGTCTGCGGTGTGTAATTTCCCCTCACAGACATAAATCTGATCAGTGCTGTCAATGAAAAATAATAAAGCCTCCAGCAGCAGACGTTATTACGACCCCACAGCCCTAAAGGGAAAACACAAGCCGACTGACAGCACACCATTCATGTTCCACACTTCAGTCTCAGCATATTGCACCGCTGAGCTGTGATGTCTGACAGATGTACTGACGTCAGCTGAGCACAACGCAAACATCCTGTTGAGACGCAGCAGACGTGATGTAATGTCAGTAACTACAGTTTAGAGACCTGAAAAAAACAACATTGTTGCTTTTATTGATGAGAAAAGGCAGGTGGGAGCGGCGATGAAGAGGACAAAACACAGTGTGTGTGCATGTGTGTGATTCCAGCAATGAGGCATGTTGTTTAGTTACACTCTGTGCCAGACTGAGCATCAGGAATCATTAAATATCCATTTGGCGATGACTATGCTGTTGACGCCACTGTCTCCATAGCAACTGGCTCAACAGAACTTCACAACATTGGACATTCTCGCCCAGATCTGCGTCTTTGTTATGACTGTTGCCATGGAAACCTGGATGATGCTCCCTCACTGACCCGCACACACAAATACATCTGGGAGAAAAGAAAAATCTTGATATGTTAAAGCATCAATCTAAGGTCACATGAGCTCTTTGTCACCATGGAATGAAGGAAAGAGGCTCCAGGTAATGATTTCAAACTGTCAAAGGCACAGAGAGAAGAACCAAACCACTGCTGTTCCTGTCTTTAGTGAAACCTAAACTCTGGTTGCATTTTTATAGGTAAAAAAATGCAGAAGATGCATCCAAAGATGAAATGTAGAATAACAATAATTGAGCATGCAGAGTGATCATAATGCCTTTTTCCTCAATTTAAAATGTTAAAATTTTATTTATTTTTTCCTTTTAAAGAATATTCTTACTAACATTAAACGGTCTGCACACGGTGTCGTTTTCAGGATAAACTATAATGTGGCTGTAATTAGGAGTGAAAAACATAAATAAAGAATTAAAAGAAGGAGAAAAGTTTTGCTGGTTGCTTGGTAACAGCAAGATGACTGCAGCTAAAGCCAAGTGGTGCTCGCTGCAGAACCACAAAGGCGGAGCAACACCAGAGTCAGCCCCGCCCATTCCATCAGAGTCAGTCCAATTCCTTCCAGTTGTCAGACTTGATAGCATTCTGGAACCAAACAGGGTGTTATAGCTAGTATCATCTAAAATGCAAAATTGAGGACGGAGTTGAGAAGTTAACTGAACAGTTTTTGTAAAGGTTCCATATAATTAAAAATCTAACTTTTGGAACTTTTAATCATGTTATATTGTCATTTCCTCAAAAGAAACACGCCAAAGCCATTTTTGGCCTCATTCATGCATTTTCCTCCCATCTCAGCTTCAATTTGGTCTCCTCCCCCGAAGCGGGTCTGGTCTTGGTTCTCAAATCTGGATATTCTGTGAATTTTCTGACAAATTATTTCTGAAATGATTTCTACTGAGACACCGCCGAAAAATCATACGTCCCATCTACAAAAACACACTGGATGCCACAATTACATGTGACGCCACTTGCTTGTTATCAGATGTGGTGGTGAAGTGGTTATGGAGTCAGATTGGCATGTAGTTTTGCGCAGGTTCGCCTCCCGGTAGTGGCGCAAACCCTTTTCTTCTTTTCTAGCTACACTTGCCAGTACTGTTTTTAACCATTTATTGGTATACCGTTTACAATATAATGACTAATGTGTTTTTTTTTATTTGTTTATTTAGCCAGTGTGAGTCCATTTGTGAGCAGAGTTTTAACTAAAATGCTGTTTAGGAACGACCAAATTCAAAGAACTTTTAGAGACATAAATATTTTGCAGAAAATAAACTTTACAACTAAAATAAAAACAAATTAAATGTTTCAGCTGGATAAATAGATTGCTGCCGACCCCACCAAGCCTCGAACCAACATCAGCTGACGGGAAAGCAAAACTTAAGATTAACGATCTTGCCACTGGACTACCAGATTACACTAAAAAAATTGTTGTTAAATGCTGTTTTATGCCGGTTCTGTTGGAGCGGCTGTGGGCAGATATTCGCTAAAAGAAACCTTTTCATTTCGGGATATATTCAGGCTTTGTCAGGTAGCAAGTTATATTTATCTTGTTTAATTGGAGCATAGAACATAGCATTAACATTTGTAAAGTAGTAACAGCCGTAATTCATGTGGATCAGGTTAGTTTGCGATCAAATAAAAAAATAAAATAAAATAAAAAACAGAAGAAGTCAGTGGGCTAGGCTGTTTGCGTGAATGGGCGGGGCTGACTCTAGTGCAGCTCCGCCTTTGTGGTTCTGCAGCGAGCACCCTCTCGCTAAAGGGGCAACATCCACTAACATAGTAATGTGGCATTATCACACTTAAAGGCTGTTTATTCTGCTCTTTTTTTTTTTGGGTTTTTTTTTTGGGGGGGGGGGGGGTTGTTTTTTTTTGTCAAAATAGAAAATAACTAATTGTGAATTGCAGCAAACAAGGCGAGTAACAGCTGCCTCGCTCCTGCAGATAGCTGGGGTCTTACCTGCAGCTGCAGGGTAACCTTTCCAGCTTCACTGTTGGTGTGACCATGAGGAAGGAGTCCGTTGTGTTCCTGCTGCGTTTCTCTGCAGGTTGGCTGCTGTCCAGTCCTCTGAAGCATATCTTTCACCACCTTCACCTTCAGGCGACTGCGCAAAGTGATGGCCGCGTTCCCTGAGATCCCAAAATGATCAGATTGACATCAACTGTTGGCTAGATATTTACAGATCTCACAAAAAATGTTGTAGTCACCTTCTAACACTTTAGCCACTTCAGTTTTATACGATTCAAACTTGAAAGGTGTCAGAAAACCCAAAGAGCCTAGGTGGAACGCCATAACTGGTGGGACGCTGCCCTGCAGTGAGGAGAGATAGACCTCATTAATTCAAGATTTAAAAAACAGGTGTTAAAAGTAACTTTTGTTTCTGACTGAACAAAAGCAGAATACCTGGAAAAGAGAAGAGGCATAGAGCAAAGTCCCATCTCCGCCCAGACAAATGATGAGATCGATGCAATCAGAGATATCATCATAACCTATTAAAAATATACATTATAACACAAGATTGTAGCTTTTTAACTGAAATGCATCATAAAAGCCTTAAAAGGTGAAGAATAAAATGTCCTGCAGAAACAAAATGAAAAATATTTTCTAAAATCTGTTCATCTGGTGAATTTTAAAGCTTGAAAGAAAACATTGATTCGTTGGATCAAAAAACATAATTACAGCTAAAATTTCAACAATTATGACATATTTGTCTTACATTCATTTCTGATTCATCTACTCCACATGCACTCAGTATTAAAATGTTCTGGCTTCTCTAGGACAGCAATAGTTTTTACTTTAGGACTGTCTCACCTTCCCTAAAGGTGCAGAGCTGATTGCGGATGGAGCCAAAGGCCTCGTCCTTTGACAGTGTGACATCGTCAGCGACCCTGCGCTCCACATACACCATCATCTGTTTCTCCTGACACACAAACACACAATTTAATAACAAAAACATGCACATATGCTTTTTCAAAATAAATCTGAGCACAAGTCAAACATGCGCAGCTAACTATGATGATGTTTGTGTGGAATGTAAATACGTGGGGATTTTTAGGCCAGCGAGAACAGTCTGGTTTCCCAGGTTCTATTTCTAGAAACATGTGGTTAAAGCAGCTGGATACCAGACTCCACCACTCCCCCACCTGTCTGAAACACTTCCTGGATTATGTTGTTTGCATGTGGTTTTGTCAGCAAGAACATGTGTTTGGTTTACACGCTGTAAAAGAATTGTTCTTCAAATGAGTCCAGATGTTGCCTTTTATGTAAATTTAAACCTGCATAGCAAAATCGTTTTGCTATTGCTACGGTTGGTTTGGATTTCTAGGCTAGTCTGAATGCAGAACAACACCTTGGACTAAGGGAAGACCGACATATCGGTCCAACATATGCCATTTTTTATATATCAGCATCAGCCAATATACCTCCGTAGTAAAGACAAGAAGCCAGACACATCCCCGGGCAGCCTGGTGCTGTTGCAGAATTGCTCTAAAAATGATTTCCAATTAAAATTTATTTTTATTTAGCAGTTATAACTATTTAATACTTGGTCGATTTACTGATTTTTTAGCTTAGTTAGATGTCTGATTTTAACTAGGGATGCACCGATCAGGTTTTTTGCTGCCGATCACCGATACGATATCAAAGACTGCTGATCACCGATACCGATCACGTGGATTGGCCAGAAATTTTCTACAACATCATAATGAGTGCTACAAACTAGATAATCTGGGAATAAAGGAAATGTAACCTAATCTAAAATGGTCTGATCGGTCTGCTTTGATCCATTTTGAAAACTCCGATCAAAACCGATACGGGAGCTATCGGCCGATTGGGATCAAATGCCGATCCATCGGTGCATCCCTGATTTTAACACAGCAGTGCACAAAATTAAGATTTAATAGCTGGATAAATTTAGTTTTCAAAAACTGATTCAGCTTCTGAAATTTTTTGCATCAAATGATACTATTAGTGACATTTTAGCATGAGAATAAGGTGGAAAACATCTAGATATCGGTCATAAAAATCAGCCCAAAATACCTGCAGCACAAATCGGCCACTGGCTGACCATGACCTTTGCCTTTTGCCGTCTGTATCAGCAACAGAAAAACCAGAATAGGTCGACCTATACCCTGAACACAATAAACCTACACTGTTTTCTAATGCTTTAAAATACTTGTGTTTAGCTGATGCTGCACACATCTCCTGGATGAGAAAAAGCATTCTGTCAACACTAAGGACTGTAGAAAATCTGAGTGTAAATAACACATCTATTTACCAAGCTTTAAATATTTAACAAACAAACAGTATGTAAATAAAAATTTGTAGAACAATTACATTATAGAAGAAACCTAAAGAATTAACTTGCATCCAACCACAAGTAAATATCCTTTGTTGTATTTTACAAGCTTTGCTTTAAATTAATAAAAACAACTTTTTATCAGCATTTGTAGTTAACGTAGGACCAAACGTAACTAAAAATGAACAACCAGAACGTTTTACTGAAATTAAAGTAATCCTGTGTTTATTGTTTATTTGCTTAGATACTCTTCTACTTAATGTTAACAGGAAAACAGGAATGCTTGGTGGGGTGTTTTTTCGTCACAAAAATAAATTTCAGTCAATAAAACTATGTGTTTTTGTGTCAAATGTCGCATATTTTCAATCACAAATCATCATAAACAGAAAGTATGCAGGTTTTCTATAAAGCAACATAAAAAATTTGTTTGTTTTTTTTTCGTTTACCTCCACTAGAAACCCGCAGAGCTGTTTGAACGGCTCGACCAGACTCTCATCTCTGATCTTCCTGATGACGAGCACGTTGACTGGAGGTTTGTTCCAGGTGAGCCTCTGGCTGGCAGGGTCCTGGATGTGCCTGGGAAACAAAGCGAAAAATTATTTTCTCTCACCCACGTGAGCAAAACAAGCACATAAATGTGACGCACAAAGACAACTAAAGCCTGTCTGGACCCTAAAGTGAGAACAAACAAAAAACTAACAGAGAAGGATGGCTGATTTTTGTTAGTGTGTATTTTTTAAGAGACGAAGCCATGATCGTATTACGTTTTCTCAAGCAGGCGAGTCATTCATTAACTCTTATTGCACTCGGTTGCAACTATGAAGATCAAAATCCAAATGTGACGATGCAAAAAATAATTCTCATTTTCATTTTACCATTTGTTTTTTCTCTTTACGCAGCAGACGGCAGGCATTGTGCAGAAAATTTCATCTGCATGTTTTCAAATATGTCCTAGAAACCCCTTTCTGATCAGCTGTCCTGTGAGCCATCCCATCTCATGAAAAGAGCCAATACCGTTTCGTCTTATTTATCTCATAGTTGCACAAAACCTTCTGTGTCAATGTTCAAATGAGCAGTTTGAAGAAGCAAAGTTCAATTTATTCAGCGCCCTCATGCTTACATGACAGAAGTTGGGTTGGGAAGAATGCAGGCTTTGGGTCCGAAGTGAGTGGCTGGATAAGGTCCATGTAGAAAGTGAGCTCGTCTGTGGGGGAAATAAAAAGAGGAGTTAAGACAATATTGTCCCCTGCCAGTGACACAGCAGACCAGCTGGCAACCTGCAGAGCAAACCTTTTAGGAGAGCTTTCCGCTGTGTCGCACGACGAACCAGAGGGCTCCAAGTGCTCGTGTTGGCCTGGCAACCTCCGACGCTCCATCTCCCACAGCAGCTGTTTGTGATCATCCCCTCGTCGCTGCGACCTCTTCCCCTCCCGCCGTCTCCTTGGGGACCTAGATGGGTGCTCCTTGTTCTTGGAGGGCCTGGCTGATTCTGACTGGTGATCAGAAGAATTTGAAGGTCTCAACATGCCTGTCAGACAGTGAAAGGGACCTTGATGAAAGACTTGTCTCTGGATTCTCCGTTCTAAACAGAAGAACATTCTCATTCTAAACAACAAATGATTTTTTAAGTAAAACAAAAACAGTATGAATCTTGAAATAACAGAAAAATGTTCCCTTTATCAAATAATATATTTCTATAACTAGTTAACTATGCTAAAGGTGTGGAACACTGAAAACCCTTTTTTTCATTATTATTTCTGATTATAATCGGTCACTCTGAGTTTCTCGTGCAGGCTGAACAGGAAAATAGTCTCCTACACCTATCTCCTGCATTAGCTTTGGATGATAGAAAATAGACGGTGAAACTCTAGGATTTGAAAAGCCTGACAGACCTACATCACACCGTCACAACATTGATGGACTCACCCATCTTGACTCGAGATATGGAAGGCTGTTGTTGTTTTAGCATCCAGGAAACATCTCGACTAGAAGCTAACCGTTAGCATTAGCCACTCCACCATATAGCATAACTCCTTCAGGCTTGGGTTATTTGTGGAGATAAAACATCCATGTTGCAAAGCAAACAAAGTCAGTGTTAAATCACATTGCTTTTATCCAATCCCAGACAAGATATCTAAATATCAGAAAATAAGACTCCAAATCCTGCTGTCTGAAGCACTTCTCTGATGTGGCAATGGTCTAGTTCAGTAGCCTAGCCTGCCAGACTCACCCTCTGTCTCTACACAGAGGACAAGTCTTGATACTCAAGAGGCAGAGAGCACCATGAGGGGTGGGAGTAGCCAGCTCAAAAATAAACAATCAGAAAAAAGGCGGAAATGACGATTGTTTTGCTGTAGCTTTTTAGCTGTAGTCAAAGGTGTCATCTGGTGATGGTGCAAACATCTTTCTTAAGAAAAAAAGCTTTTAGCGCTTCTACTTGTTGTGGGGTTGAAGACATGTCCAAGTCGTTTAGGACAGAGGAAAGAGCCGCAGCACACTCCACTTCAGATGCCATCTTCAATGTTTATGAGAAACTGACCATTGCAGTATGTGACTTATGCTGCTCAGTGCTGGTTGGCTTGGTTAGAATTCTCAGGGGTGGTGTTATAGCGTTACTGGGGCCTTTGCATCCCACAAGAAAGCATTGGCATGACTGGCTAGGCTACTAGTTCAGAATCAGAATTCAATTCCTGTACTGGAGGGCCGGTATCCAGCACGTTTTAGTGATTTCTCTGCTCCAACACACTTGATCCTGTGGTTGGATATGAATGACCTGTTAAATACCTGCCGATTGAAATCAGGTGTGTTGAAACATGGTTAAAATTTAATCATCCTGAATACCGACCCTCCAGAACCAGAACTGAATAACCCTGGTCTAGTTCCTGAAACTGGTTCACCACAGCTTTTATTCTCCTTAGCATTCCTACTAGAGACCACTGCAAATGTATTGATTAAACAAGTGTTCCACACCTTTAAACATGATTTGGTGCCAGATCCAACTACTTCACCTCTTCTGGTATCATTATTTACTATATTTATTTTGTTCATTCAAGGATTTGAAAGATAGAATGCCAACATTTTCAGCACTACATCCAAACAAAAGTTTAACAAATTTTTAAAATAAGCATGTATTTTGTAATCATCAACTAGGCGCAGAGCTGCAACATTTAGATTGTTTTAAATATGGATTAGTCTGTGAATCATTGGTCAATGTTGGAATCAGACTTTATTTTAGACATGTGGTTTTTCTAGACATGGGGTTTTAGATTTACTTGTTTATTTCTGTAGGGAGAGGCTGAAATTAGATCGTGCGTCTAAATACGCTGAAAGCAGTGCTTAAATTTATTTGATTATGCTACGTTACACAAGATGTTACCTTAACTAAACAAAGCAAATGAGACCAAAATGTTAATCTTTTCTGCACTGTGGACATAAAATTCAGGTAACAGACCTAAAATTATATCAGTATCTGTCAGCCAAACAAACCGTAAAGCGTTACCTAGCAATAGCATAACTAGGTAACCGCGACTCGGGCACACCGGCAAAACGGAACGAAATAACATCTTACTTGCTTCACAAACAAGCGAACAAGCTCATATCAGTTCAAGCCCAAGATGACTCGGATATTGTAAGACGTCACTCGAAGAAAGACGAAAGGACAAACGTTAACATATAAAACAGAGTTCAGGACAGAACAGAAACGGAAGATGTGCCGCGTCACTCGGAGTGTGACGGATGCACACTGAAACTACAGCGCCTCATTTGCCCCTGCTGGTCACATTTTGAACTACAGTCACAGTATTTTGATTTGTACCTGTCACTATCCAACCTGTCAATTTTCGTTGTCGACTTTTATTCGTCGAGGAAACTGTCGCTCAGTGTTCGTCATAATTCAATCTTTTTCGTTTCGTTTTAATCCGCAAAAAGCCATTCATCACGAAAAAACCGAAACGAATTTAACACTGACTGGTTTTGCACAAAAAGAGCAGCTTGTTGTGCTTAGATCCAGAATGAGCTTTATTCATGGTTTCTCCAGTTTTTCCAGGGCTGCTAAAACCACAGAAAACACCCCAAAATAAAAATAAAACATCCAACTTTAGAATTACAGTGGATAATTGGCATAATCGAATGTCTTCCGATCGTCTGGTGATCATCTGAGGATTTGCTCTTTCTGTGATGGAGGAAGAGAACAGTGATGGGATGTCACATCAAAACGCACCAATCAGAGTTTTGCAACATTTGAACTGAGAACTGGGAAGCGCTTCCTGTTGTCAGCGGGGTGCTGCAAGTAAGCGATCATTTTGCGAAATAATGTTTGTATGTTGCTGTTATAGCTTGATGAGCAATATAATTTCATACATAAATAAGCATATTGATGGACTAAACATGAAATTAGAATTCAAAACATCAACTTCACTTTTAGTTTTAAAAATGCTTGTAAGTAAAAATATCTTTGAAATGTATTAAGTTGACTTTAGTGGATGTGTATGTATTTAGAGTTTGTTTAGAAACAGGTGTGTGTGTGTGGGGGGGGGGGGGGTAGTATGATATTTGATTAGGTTAGGCAACAGTATAAGCTTCTGCCTAAACCTGTTCAGTCGTGGTATGTTCAAGTATATGAGGTTAGATGGGTGCCAAAACCTATGCTTTGGGCACCCATCTGACCCCATACTAGTATTCTTGTGTGTGTGTGTGTGTGTATGTATGTATGTATGTATGTATGTATGTATGTATGTATGTATGTGTGTATGTGTGTGTGTGTGTGTGTGTGTGTGTGTGTGTGTGTGTGTGTGTGTGTGTGTGTGTGTGTGTGTGTGTGTGTGTGTGTGTGTGTGTGTGTGTGTGTGTGTGAATGTATGTATGTATGTATGTATGTATGTATGCATGTATGCATGTATGTATGTGTAACCCAGGTTATCTTCCAGAGTTACTGAGCCTAAATTCCTTTAAAAAAATTCTCCATTGTTAGGAACCGTTTTTCGGTAGTATAAAAAACTACGAGGGTTACTTGAACGCAGCATGGAGCCGAGCTGCCTCCCCACACCGGAGAAAAGAGGAAAAAAAAAGGTTTTTGTCCGTTAGGCTGAACCATAGACTGTACATACTGGACAAAACGATTCCATAGGCTCCAATAACACGTTTTTTGTCTATAATGGGAGGTGGCCACCACCGCCATTTTGACCGTGTCACAGGTTCCGTCCAGCCCAGACAATTCCATAAAAGGGAAGAGAGGAGGAGCTGAGGGTGGGCTGTAAGGCTGGGATCAACTGACGACACCCGGTCGAACTAGCTACAAGCTAACCCAAAGCTAATGCGGAGGTGGGAGCTAAGCTAACGGAGGTAGCAACCTAGCTACAACCGGAGTTAACTGTGCGCAACACCAGAGCTTCTGAGTCAGAGATACGCCGGGCTGACCGCTGGGTAAAACTGGGTGGAACACAGAGGTCCCCGAGACCTGTGGAAAGGTTTCCATCCCAGAGCTCCACGTCAGCCCGCGCAGCACACGGAAGCCGCGATCAGACAGATGCGCCGAGCTGCTGGGAGAACCAGCCATCAGCCCGCCGCAGCAAACAGAAGCCGCGATCAGACAGAGATGCGCCGAGCTGCGGGGAGAAGTGGTGTATTTTGGCGGTTCTGGCTTGCCATAAGAACCAGCCGTCAGCCCGCCGCAGCACACAGAAGCCTCGATCAGACAGCGATGCGCCGAGCTGCTGGGAGAACCAGCCCTCAGCTCGCGCAGCTAACAGGAGCCACGATCAGACAGAGATGAACCGGGCTGCGGGGAGAAACAGCCGGCATTCCGGGTGGAAAACATCGGTCTCCCGAGAGCTCCACAAGCCGATAGTCGGAACCCAGCTCCACCAACATGTTATATTTCAACCCATTTTCTAAAGTGCAACATTATGTTAAATGCACTGGGTTTTACCCTGTTACATTTAAATTTCATGGTTAAACAGTACATGTTAAAATCTAAGCTCAGCTCGGCAGTGACCTAAAATACATAAATATAATTTGACTTACTGAAAAAAATGAAGTGGAGACTCCTTGGACGCTCTATTAGTGCAATTAATGCCACAGCAAGTCATTTTGTCCAACAATTGCACAAAAAATATCCAAAAAAGAATACACAAACACAGAGACTCAAAATGCCGGAGCAGTTCCCAAGCCAGGCCGAGGCTCTACTGAGGACTTTCCACGGAGCTAGCTCTGTGGTCACGTGGGTCTGATGCTCATTAATTATACACAATTTTAGGCTTTTAATACACTTAAACAGAAGAGTGAGAAAAAAAATCACCCCCTCAGAGTTGTCATGAGTGTAAACTAGATAATTTAGACAAAAAACATGTTTTGGTACCAGGCTGTAAACATGTTTATTTCTGCTGTGAAATTGGTATTTTTAACATGGGAGTCAATGAGGATTTGCTCGCTTCTGACACCAATCCCCAGCGGATGAGGGTGGAACTGCAATTTTTGTACTTCCGGGTTTGACTCACTTTTAGAGCTCCATTGTGGGGGCTTGGTGTAGCCAAATTTTTAAGCCATCCGGCTAGCTGTTAGCTCAGTTTCTGTGAGTAGATGTGTTAAACGGTTGAGAAAATGAATTGTACACAAATTTCCTGTGAAGATAAGGTGATTTGTTTTGCTTTTATAATTATTTTGTAAATGAAATCTACTTTTCCAAGTATAGTTATTTTGTGAGTTTGGAAGATAATAGAAAAAAGAGTGGCATTATTATAATTTTGTTGCATATGTTTTATGTAGGCTTGTTGATTGATGTTTAAATCACCTTTTCCTGCCTGGAAAGCCAACACATTTAAGGACTCAGATGCACTGCTTTGGTCCACTGGAGTAGTGATGTGTCGGTCGCGAACGAACCGGCTCTAAGAGCCGGCTCTTTGAAGTGAACGACGGGAGCCGGCTCGTCATTGGGAGCCGTCCCCTCCCCTCCCCCCCTCCCCTTTTGCTTTGGTGAAAGCTACAGGCGATTGGTCAGCATGCGTGTTCAGACTGTCCACACACAGAGCAGAAGGGGCAGGGAAGAGGGAGGATCAGACTCAGACACACAGCAGAGCACATGCGGGCGGAGGGAGACGAGAGGCAATGAGGAGGAGGAAAAAGGCGAGAGAGAGGGAGGAGAGTGCGACAAAGACGGTGAGAAAATGAGCGCCAGCAGTCGGAAAGTGGAGATTTCTGAAAGTGTTCAGTTATTAAATCCATAGAAATGATAAATATTTGATATATTGCATTTTTTTTACATTAGTAAATTATTTTACTTATAGTTTTGCATTATTTTGATTATAAATGTACTCTACGCAACAGAAAATCTGAGGAGCCACTTGGGAGCCGAAAGAGCCGGCTCTTTTTGGTGAGCTGAGCCAAAAGAACCGGCTCTCTAAAAAGAGCCAGAATTCCCATCACTACACTGGAGTATTAATGGGTATTAATACTAATGGGTGCCACATCCATGGCAGGACGTCTTCATCATATCCTGTTTCATCAAAGATGTGGTAGGATCATTTAAGACCTCTACACTATTCAAAGGACTAAGGTTTTTTTTCCCTTCCTGAGTGAGGGTTTGGACACTTTTTTTGGCAACTTTCCAACATTTTAATGGACTGAATTATCCATTTGCCCAAAAGCAAGAAAACTATGACATAGTCCTGAATACATTGTTAAAGGACAATTGGTTTTATTTATTTATTTATCTATTTATTGATTGTTCGATTTTATCATTCCTCTAAGAACCCTCTAGGACAGTGGTTCCCAACCTTTTTCCCAAGGGACCCCTTTTTTACCAGTAAAATTTTTGACGACCCCCTCACAATCTCTCTTCCAGTACAAACAGTATTAAGAAATAATAAAATTGTTCAAGCACATTTTAATATGCTTTGATTCAATAGATAACAGTAATAGTAAGCTCCAGTACAGAACAAAGTCATTAACAAAACCAAACAGAGCATAATGTGCTTGACAGTTTGTATTACTTTTCTGAACACATTGTTTCTTGTAAACACTGATAAATCAATCATTCCTTTCAATAAACATTTGACACATAAAAAATACACTGAGCAAAATGTACATAAATGTGTATATTACTGTTTATACTAGATTATTTACTGTAAAGGCTGTGATTAATCAACCAGTCCTATTTTTAATGAACTTTTGACACTTGAAAATAAAACAGTGAGCTGAGCAAAACGTTCTTAAAAGTGTGTTACTTTTCCTGTACTAATTATTTCCTGTCTTAATATCAGTAAACTTTTCACTCATTAAAAAAAATGTGAGCAAAATGTAGGCTATAAACAAGTAATAAATGAAGTTTTAACCCCTTAAAGTGGAGAGGTCCTGGCGACCCACTGAGAGGCTTTGGCGCCCCCTTGTGGGGGTCGGGACCCCCAGGTTAGGAACCACTGCTCTAGGAGAGGGAATTTAGCATTTATTTCCTTTATGATGAATTTTATAAACTGTTACATACTTCAATATATTTAATTTATTGAATTGATTGTTGTGTGTGTGGTTTGTGGGTTGGAGGTTTCAAACCTCAGATAATGAGCTACTACTGCTAAGAACCCAGCAATAGAGTTCAAAGGAACAAAAAGCAAGAAACTTTAGGAAATAAGACACATTTGATCCTGTAGCTCCCACAACACTTTAACCTTGAAGAAGTATTCCGCGCTGATATATTTGAATACAGATACTCAGTTTTTCAGGGAGCCACAGGTTACATATGTATGTATGTATGCATGCTTGCATGCATGTATGTATGCATGTATGTATGTATGTATGTATGTATGTATGTATGTATGTATGTATGTATGTATGTATGTATGTATGTATGTATGTATGTATGTATGTATGTATGTATGCATGTATGTATGTATGTATGCATGTATGTATGTATGTATGTATGTATGTATGTATGTATGTACGTATGATGCCTTTGTCTGCATGGATCAGTTATGACTGAATACAAATAAATAATTACAAAAACTATGTTACAGCTAGAATCTGTGCCTTTTTGTTTCACTCACATTTATGTTGCAAGCGACTGCAGCTCACTCAAACTTAGCAGCTTGTTTTCGTGCGCATGTGCAATGTGCATGTTGGTGTCTGAGAACAGGAAGTCCTGTGCCATCCAGTTCTTTCTAAACTTCCTCTCCTTAAAACACACACACACACACACACACACACACACACACACACACACACACACACACACACACACACACACACACACACACACGTTGAACCTTGTGTACCTTGTTTTGTATCTGTTGGCTGCATGAATAGCATTCATTACTTCAAAATAGATTTACAGATTATGACTACAATTAAATTCTGCTGCATTAAAATAAGCAGTTTATTTGATCATTTTTCATATTTTATTTTATTTTTTAAATGTATTTTTCCAAATAATTTCCAACTGGTTTTTCTGTATGTCTCACAGCTGCTGAAAACATCCTCTAGAACACACCTCATGTATGTCTCCACCATCTCCATCCTTCTTCATCTGGGAGGCAAATGTCTGCTCAACTGGTTCCTGGTGTTTCTCCAGAGGATGCACATCTCCAGAAGCTTCCTGGGAATCTTCAGCGTTTCTCTTGCTGCTGTAGATACAGCTCTGACTTTCTTTATCATCGTCGTTCACATCCAGAGAGGCGGATATGTACTCCTCCTCGGTTACCTGATGACCAAGTATGATCTGTGTTTGCTTGTCCAGATCATCGGACAGATCAGCAGAGTTCTACGCTGGCCCATTGCGGTCGTGGCGGCTGTGGATCATTTCTGCATTGTGACTCAGAGGTTCACCTTAAGATGAAGATGGGTTGTCTATTTATTAGTGACCATCTTCCTATGGTTCCTTACTGCTCTCTATTTCTTCCTGCTGTTTGACTTCATTCCTGATATTCCCAACCACGACCCACTCAGGTGCCGGGTCATCCACTCCCTACGGACCATACACATCATAGTGCTGCTCTTCCTCGTTCTGGCCTGTGTTGCAGCATTTTCACTGATCAGCCCTGTAGACCAAAGTCAAATTCCCTCACAGAGAAGCTTTATTCAACAAACACTGCAACGATTTGTCTACACTTGGATTGTTTTCCCGGTGTTCCTGGCCATACTCCTCTTTCTGCCGATGGGAATACCTTCCTACCTGGATCTGAGCATTGCCTGGCTCTGTTTTCTTAACAGCCTTCTGGTGGCCGTTGTTTTATGTGTATTCTCTCTGTTCTCACAGGGACTGCAGGGCTTGGTCGAGGTTCCTGCAGACAATTTCTGTGATTGGAGTATTTAGACAATTTTAGCCTGAATAGAAAAAAAATTGAAATAAAACATCAAGTAACCTGTAGAAAAACATATTTTCATTATCTCTGTTTCAAGACTTGTGGCAGGACTGTGTGTATTTGTTACCACTTCACCTTTACCACAACTGTTGTTTGATTTTTTTATATATATATACATATATATATATATATATATATTTTTTTTTTTTGGCGTACCAATATTGTTGCTTTTTTATTTTGAACCACTTCACAGCACTAAAAGACATAAAATTCCAGCTTTGATGGGATGAAAGATTAGGGTCACACAGAACTGGAGGTCAAAGCAAATAAGCAGAAAAAGCACCAGAACCTCCAATTATTCACAGTTCTGCATGATAGCTTATGAGAGGGATGTGGTTAAACTAAAACACTAGACTGAAATCACGTTTAAACTGTATTTAGCTGTATATTTGAGTGTAATCCTGCAATGATTTATTTTAAAATCAAACAAAAAAAAAGATATTGGCAAAATTCCTTTTATAGGCATCATTTTAATATCTGGTGTTTCCAATGATATAGGGATTTAATCAATAAACTCATTTCCTTGAGTCGAAGAGAGAGAGACAAGAAACAACAAGGCAGACATACAACCAAATTATAATTTGTGACAAGAGCACGAGGCAAATGCCCCGAATTCTGCTCACAGAGTTTATTTATTACAAAAGATAGTGAGGCCATGTGAGGGAGAGAGAGAGAGAGAGAGAGAGAGAGTGTGTGTGTGTGTGTGTGTGTGTGTGTGTGTGTGTGTGTGCGTGCGTGCGTGCGTGCGTGCGTGTGTGTGTGTGTGTGTGTGTGTGTGTGTGTGTGTGTGTGTGTGTGTGTGTGTGTGTGTGTGTGTAATGGGAGGTACAAGGACCAGAATGTGTGTGTGAGAATGCTTTCGGGACATTCAGTTAATAGGATTAAAGTAATGAAATGTAAAATTTCCATAACATAATCCCTCCTGTTTATCCAAATAGGATAACCAAACAAAAAGAAAACAACAAAGAACAATTAAGTAAAATAATAAAGAACGAATAAGTAATAAAACACGATAAGGCAAACACGACTGACGATAACATCAAACAGCAGTTTACAGATATATAAGTGAGATCATGGAAATCAGTTGAATCAACGCCATCATAAACTTAAGAAAAGCGATTTCTTACATATTTAAGTGAATTCACTGTAATGCAACAGTTCTGCAATTTATAGCAGTTCCTGTAAAGAGGTTGGGAAGGGTTAGCGAAACCATATTACATACAGAAAACCTCAGTAGAGTTTATTGAAACATCAAATGAATTTAATTTAAAGCTTCAAGTTGCAGATGAATCTTTCTGTGAATGAGGAAAAATGAACGTGTAATATTAATTTATGCAGCTCTAACTGTGGCAGATGCTGAGGCAAATCAAGCGTTCTTCATCGAAGGGCTTGTCCGTGGACTGAGTCCCGGTTGGAGAATAGTTTGGAAGGTCAGAGTCCTCTTCCATTGGTCAGGACGGTTTCAGTCTCACGTCAATGAGAACCTTGAAGTCCAGGTCCAGAGTGCAATAATGGAGTTTGGGATGTGAAAGCGCACAGTTCAACTTTTCAATAGGAACATGTCAGGGTCCTTCCATGGCGTGTCGAGGCGATTGTCCAATTGTCAGGGAGCTGATCTTGTCCCCGAAAAGTCCTTCTGATCCTTTGACCGTGAAACCAGGTTGGAGATTGGGTGCAGGTGATTGAAGCAGTTGTCCTTTTCCAGCGTCTCGTCGTCGCTGTGTCCTGTCGTAGGTGCGTCCAGGGGGTCGTCAGCCGAGGTGGGTACGATGTCATGTAGGTGTGTGGTTAGGGAGGAGCCCCAGTCCGTCGTTCCAGTTCCAGTTCTTGTACCCCCTTCAGATGCTGCTGTCCCAGTTGTTCCGTCAGGTGCTGAGAGGCGGCCCAAGTGCAGGGCCACGGACGTGCACCAACATCACAATGTGGTGAACCCATGTTAAAAAAACCGGGGCTGGAAGTGACAACCTTAGCTAATTACAGGCCCATCTCAAAACTCCCTTTTCTTTCCAAACTGCTGGAGAAGGTCGTGTATTCACAATTGGTTGCCTTTTTGGACACAAATGATTTATGGGAAACCTTTCAGTCAGGGTTCAGGAAAGGTCACAGCACTGAATCTGCTCTTTTAATGGTTTTTAATGACACGTTTTTAGCCTGTGACATGGACAATGATGTTGTTCTGCTATTGCTTGACTTATCTGCAGCTTTTGATACAGTTGACCACGAAGTCCTTCTGGACCGACTACAGCATTGGGTGGGGATAACTGGGCAGGCCCTCCAATGGCTTCGCTCTTATCTTCAAGACAGGACATTTAGTGTTCAGATGGGTGAGGTAACGTCACCCAGCGTGAAACTTCGTTGGGGTGTGCCACAGGGCTCTGTCCTTGGTCCTCTCCTATTTGCAGTTTATTTGCTTCCTCTTGGAGTCCTCCTTCGCCAGCATAATATGAAATTTCATTTCTTTGCTGATGACTGCCAGATCTATCTCCCTCTTCAACGTGGGGAGGATAGATCTGTTTCTCCTTTACTGGATTGCTTGAAGGACATAAAATGCTGGATGGCTTCTAATTTTTTACACCTAAATGAGAGCAAAACGGAAGTTATAATACTTAGTCCTGGCAGAAGAAATGGCTCTGGTGCTGTTATGGACCTTGGCCCATTGACACCCTATGAAAAGAAAATGGTCAGTAATTTGGGGATTAAAATCGACTCAGCACTTAATCTTGACACTCATGTAAATACAGTGGTGAGGTCCTGTTTCTTTAACCTGAAAAGACTATCCAGGATCAGGCCTCTGCTGTCCAGAGCTCATCTGGAGTCCGTGTTGCATGCCTTCGTCCTGTCCCGGCTGGACTACTGCAACGCTCTGTATGCTGGTCTGGCCCAGTGCACAGTTGCACGGCTCCAGTTTGTGCAGAACTCTGTGGCTAGGTTCCTGACAGGCACTAGATGTCGAGAGCACATTACCCCAGTGCTGGATGCTCTGCACTGGCTCCCGGTAAAATATCGAGCTCAGTTTAAAATCTGAACTCTCGTTTATAAGGCCCTCCAGGGCAGTGCCCCCTCGTATATTATTGCGCTTTTGAACAGGTATGCTCCATCTCGGGCTCTTCGCTCAGCCGAGCAGGAACTTCTGGTGGTCCCCCGGTCAAAATTTCGATCGAGGGGTAGTCGTGCTTTTTCTATTTTGGCTCCAACTCTGTGGAACGAATTGCCACTGAGCATTAGACAGGCTCCATCCCTTCAAGTTTTTAAGTCTCGTTTAAAGACTCATTTTTATCTGATTGCGTTTCAGCGCTAGGGTCACTTGAATTGCCCTAACATTATGGTTTTAACTATTCTCCTTTTTATACCGGATGCTTGATTTTATTTTGTCTGACATTTGTTTTTTTTAATCGATTGGTCTTATTCCAATATCTCTTATCTGTAATGCTGTTTGCTTGCTATTTTATGATTTTATGTTTTTATCGTGCTTTTATGCCCATGTATTGAGAATGTTTTTCTTTTAATGATGTTGTTCAGCACCTTGGGCTTCGGATAATGTTGTAGAAGGTGCTATACAAATAAAATTTGATTGATTGATCGATTGATTGAACCCAGCAAGCTTGATGCAGATCTTTATCTTTATCTTCACCGAGGTTGAGACATAAATACCTATATATAACTAATTAGCCCATTTTTAAATTTCAAAAGACATATTTTAAAATTTGAGTGACATTCACGAAATCCACAGAGCTCCAAGGAAATGTTTATTTTCCTTATTGGAAGAAATTAACCCTCTCAGGCTCAAAAAAAGTTTTGATAAGGACGAACAACTGAGTCCTTCAGGGGTACTTTTGAGTTAAATAATGCTCGTGAAATACTTATGTGGAGTAACCAGGTGCCTCCTTTATCAAGCTTGCTTACGCACAAAACGGGGTCGGAAATTGCGTAAGCAACTTTCCACGCAAACTTTGGGATTTATCAAAGAAAACTTAGCGGAAAAATGTGCGCAACTTTAAGTTGACTAAGGACCTGGCTTACACACTTGTTGGACATGGAGAGCACCTGCAGTGCTGCTGCTGAGAAGGATACAATTATGAAATCCTGCAACATTATCACTTGTACCGCTTCGTTTTCACACAGAACAAGACCTCCCACATGCACACACGCGTGCGTACACACACATGCGTGTGCGGCGCACACACACACACAGCCTGAAGCGCAGAATACGGAATGCAGAATATCAGCAGGGGGACAGACTGAGACAGAATGTCATGCATCTGTGACAGTGTGTGTCCTGTCACTGTGACCCGATTGATCATGTGCCCTGGCTGCTTGTATAAGAGAGATCCCTGTTTGGCTGACTGGTTGGAGCGTGTGACTTTCATCCGGGAGATGGGAGATCAAATCCTGATTTGATCATTTATTTTATATCCACCACAGATCTCTCTGAAGAATTCACAACATTGACGGCTTCAGCAACGCTGTACCACTCCGTGGATTTTCTCTTATTTGTTTTGCAAAAGCACTTCCTTTCATTTCTCCACCTCACCCACAGGTACCTCAATTTCTGCTTCTGTGAAATTGGCTTCCTTAATCTGCCTTGATCTACGGTCGCCATTGTCATTGGCGGAGCGCTGCAACAGCCGACTCATGTATATGCATGAGATCCACAAGGCACTTTGCATTGACTATTTATGGCAGTAAGTGGGCGTGGTGAGGGCGGGATGTGACTAAAATGCAGCTGAGAAACATTCTCCTTAGTCTCCGATTTATGAAGCGGAGATTGCGTGCAGCTGTGTGTACTCCATGTTTGATAGATCACAAACCTACTTGGCGTAAGTACGTTTGTTTTGCTGAGTTTAAGTACGGTTTTAGTAAGGATTCTACGCAATGTTTGATAAATGAGACCCCTGGTAGGTAGGTTTTAACAGTTGGAAATCTGCAACGCCTGCCTCCAGAAGGTTAAAGGAAAAACATTTGAATTTATAGACTTTTTCTTGATTCTCATAACAGCACATTTTGGTTTTAAAAGTGTGTGTGTTTCAAGCAGCCCTTTGAAAAGTAAACAGACTCATACACTATAACAGGCCCAAGTTGTGGAATTAAAGGTGTGTGAAAGTCATTTAATCAATACATTTGCAGTGGTCTCTGGTAAGACTGAATGCCTTGCAACTTGAAAGTCTTACTTGGGGCAAAAAAATAAGGGCACGGACAAGTGTGCTGCTGCACAGAGTGGAAGCAGGTGATCTTATTCCCTGATGTTTGGACATCTTGCCTCAGATTGGATAACAGCAATGGAACTGTTTGCTCCGTTTTATCTCCACAAATAACACAAACCTGGAGGAGTTCTGCTGTGTGGTGGAGTTGTGAATGCTAACGCTTAGCTTCTACTAGTCAGGACATTCTCTTCTCCGTCGTGAATGTTAAGTTACAGAGTGTGGAACATCTAAACACTCATTCACCTGTTGGCACACACTGGTTAACTTAATAACTATAAGTAATTCATGAGGTGTCACAGCAAGTGTTGATGGTTTTTTAAATATGTTTATGTAAAGTCAGTCAGTTAATCTAAAAACATAACAGAATTCTGCTGAGAAATTCTTAAAAACAGCAGCAGGCTTTGGAGTACGCTGAGATGCATTTATTTTTGTTCATCTTAATTCATTGATAATAATGACAATAATAATAACAATAAAAATGATGATTTGTGTCTTAAGTGTTCATTTTTTGAAATTAAGAAAGTTCAGTGTGGATCTGAGGATTTTCAAATCCTAGTTTCACCATCTATTTTCTGTCAGAAGCTAATGCAGGAGATAGGTGTAGGAGACTATTTTCATGTTCAGCCTGCATGGAAATCTTACAATGACCAATTATAATCAGAAATGATCATTAAGAACACCTTTAAACTCTTTATTCAATAGTGTTTTTGTCTTGTTTGCACAACATAGAAACATAATGCATGACCGGTGTTGCTTTAAAGTCAAGTTTCAAGTGTAAGAATTTAAACATGGTCATCAGCAATGACCAATGATTTAGTTTTTTACTCTTCAGATATGAAAACGTGGAATTTTTTTAATCTATTGGAGCTCTACAAACCAAATTTATTCCAGTTTTATATTGAAATGGCTTCCAGCTTAATATTTTCCATCTTTATCATTTAGGTGAGATGCAACGCAGACTGGATGGGTTTGAATTATTGTGACATGATTTATATATGTGGAAAAAGTGCAGAGACCATCTCCATCCATCCACGAAGGGTCGCGGGGGTCTGGTGCCTAGTTTCCGGGTGAACAGGTGGGGTACACCTTGGACAGGTTGCCAGTCCATCACATTGCTTCAAATTAGCCAAATATTCTTGTAGTCTGATTATAATTCTTCAGAATAAATTAGAGAGGCCAGCTTCTTCATAAGGGGATAAATAATCTCAGGAAGTGACATTTGATTTTTATTCTCTTTCAGCTGGTCACAAAGACACAATTTGGTGCCATTTCTTGAGCGTCTTGCTCTTCTTTTATTTTCTTTTTACATATTGCCCATTACGATGTCACGATCAGATTTAAGGACTGAAAATGAGCAAACAGGCTGCTGACGTTCAAAGAAAACCTCAAGAGATCCTCAGAAATCCTGGAGAACGAGAAAGTCTGACTGCTGGCAAAAAGATTTTGAGCAGCGGCAATAAAAGACAACCAGAACAACAGTTTTGACACTACAGAACTTTACTTGAATTTGATCCAAGTTCATTGTCTATACAGGGTTTATTTACAAGATCCGAAATCAGAGAAAGGAAAAAAAAATACAGAAATAAACAAACACTAGATACAACTGAGGTATCAGCTCAAAGCATTTACAGGAACTAGGAAATAATGATGCTCAACAGTTAAGAGATGCAGTGTCTTCTGCTTAAAAAACATCTTATATCACAACATGAGGTAGGAGAACAGTGTCTCTATTCATGCAAGAACAAAAGTCTCATCACACTGTAGTATTGGCAACGTAGTATGCAACGGTCATACAGACACAGAGTTTCATGTTTCAAAACAGCAGAGGGAAAAAATGCATTGCGCAAAGCAACAGATCATTTTTCTTTAATATCATTTTAACTTTAAACAAGGTAAAATTTTGTGATCAGTGTGATCAATCACCACTGCAGCAATATCAAATAGTTTAAAATTAGACCCCCGGCTAACAAAGCAAGCCTCCTGCAGCACGGTTGGTGCTGCCTATCAGAGATGTTGGCTCAAACATTGCTCCTTTTCCTTGTTTTTGTCTTTTTTGGCAACATCGACACCCAGAAATCTTATCTAAGTTAGATCTAAACTCTCATAACACTGCAAAAAGCAAAAGAAAGAGCCCAACATGCTGTTATAAAGGATTATTCCATCCTATCTGTTAGTAATTGTCACATCATAGTACATTAAATAGGCTAAACAGCGCCCCCATGTGAATGAAATGCAAACTACGCTACAAGTTACAGAATGGGCTTCAGAAATTTGCTGGATTTGAGGAATATTTTAGGTTTCTGTTCTGCTTTGGAGGGAAATAAGTGAGTAAAAGCTAATACTGATTATCATCTGAAAGACAAATGACTGGATAACACGTGATTTAAAAAATGTGAAAACAAGCATCAAGAGCTACATGGGTGGGTTTTCTTTTTCTTTCCCTCATCAGAGCATCAGACACTCACACACGCTTTCAACTCAAATCAGGTGACAATTTACATTCTTTTTATCTCACTTTAACTCTATATTCAACTGGCGTCTTTAACCATTAAAGATATTTACGTTTCAGTATTCATGCGTTACTTGGGAGGGAAGCTTTGCATTTAAAAAAAGAACAGTGTAACCTGGAGATACAAAAAAGGGCAGCAAAACATGCAAAAATGTTTTTCTTTTGTTTTTGTTGATCAAATCTTCAAATGAGCTCAGGAAATTCAAATAGGAGCCAAAAACTAAAAAGCTTACATTACACGTTACACAGTCTGCTAAGATGAAATCCGTGAAAACAGACGCATCACTTCTAAAAGTGGGTGAGAAGTGTGTAACAATGTTTTTTTCCCTGTTGTCTGAGTAAACCATGCATTTCATCCCCCCCCCCCCCCCCCCCCCATCCACTCAAGAAAAGCCAAGTTCTCATTTCTGCAAAGACCATCTGTTTATATAAAAAAAGCAAAAACAATAATAATAATAATAATAAACCATTTAGGCCTTTTGGAGCCTTCTGGTCTAAATTATATACCATTTAAAAAAAAAGATTATTTATATAAGAACAGTTAATATATTAATGACTACTTTATTTACAAAGTGAATATAAATCTTTAATGTTAAATATTCTCTCTCATCATCTTAGTAAATGTTTCAACGGAACGACGTTTGTTGCGTTTTGCTTTTATCTGCACTTGCTTCCGTGATTACCAACAAACCATGGCTGTCTGGGCGTTTCTGTAAAGGGAAGCTGTGTGAGAAAATCTGCATCGAGACAGGATGGAGCACAGTGGAATGTCTTATCAGTTTGCATTAATAGCAGATGCATAAAAAAAGCTCAGAGTTTAGCCGAGGCTGATCCCATTACACACTCTCTCTCTCTCTCACACACACACACACACACACACACACACACACACGCTCACTGGGACCGTCTTAGTGGCAAAAAAAGCGCTTTTGCCTGGCAACTGACACAGTAAAGTTCTTTTTTTCTCTCTCTCTGACCGCACGTCTGATCACTTTTGTGGTCATCTAGAAAACACTTTGAGGCCCCGCCCCCTCCTCAGAATATGGGGTGCCCCAACAGAGGGGAGAGGGCCCCAGACGACAGCAGCTGCCCTCGTTTTGGCGGTATATAAAAAAGGGATGCCTCAGTACCCCAACCGTCCAGGCCACCCAGCTTGACGTGAGTGAGGAGGAAGAGCAACACACCTCCCTTCTCTTCCTCTCCCTCCCTTACTACCTGGACATGGCTGTTGTCATTTGTTTAGATGCCGCTCTGACACACAGCGAGAAGATAAAACCTTGCAGACAACGAGCCCAAAGAGCAGCAACACTGGAAACGAGGGGGCCGCCGTTCTGCTCCAATGCCTACGACACACTGACACACTCAAGTGTGTGCATGCTTTTGTACATCTCATCATGATAACACAGCCCAGCTACAGCTTGTTTTCCTTCTTCAACAAAACAACCTCTATGTCCAGACATTCTCCTCTACTGCAAGAATTCTAAAGAAAATAGCATTTTAAGTGCAACAACACCGCTTTTTAAGCTATGCTTGCATTTCTGGCAGTGCACCGATGGAAGCTGTGCGTGGAGGGATGGAGCAGCTGGTGGATCGAGGGAGAAGGCAGGAAAGTCTTAGGGGCACTGCCCAACAGAGAGAGGAGGGAACAAATCTGCTATCTAGGCCAAAACATTTTATAGCTGTCTTTTAAAAAAAAAGGGAAATGGGGTGTCACTCAAAAACAGTCAATTTCAACTTCAGCATCACTTATTGGCATATTTTCACGAGGTTTTACAACAAATGATTTCTTCTGTACAGTAAAGGTCTTTTACCTCCTTAAAGACTTGATATTGTAGCATCTTATAATATATTTGTGTCAAAACAAAAAGAAAACAAAGTAAAATTGAAATGTTTCTTCTGTCTCCTGCACCCGCGGGTGCTTTTGGGGTTCATGTTTATAAAGACAAAGAAGGCACACAGCTAGGCAGCTGCTGTGCCAGGTAGTAGCGTGAAGTGTTGTCAGTGAGGAGCGGAGAGTCCATAATCAAGCGTTTCGCTCCAGGGAGATGAGAAGAGGGTCCATTAGGGTGGGCGACATAGTGATGGATGTAGTTGGTCTCTTCTGTGACCAGCCTCATGTCTCTAGAGCAGCTGTTTGTTCAGTAAAATCTATAAATTAAATCAAACATACATGCCCAAAAATGTTTAAATACTGTTTAATGAGGAGGGGGAGACAAAAACGTTAAATTAAAAGGGAGAAAAGGATGGGACACCTCAAAGACAGTCCTCTCTGCCTCTGGTTGTAGAGATGGTAGACAACGGGAGGAAGAGGTGAATAAAGGGAAGGAGGCACCTGGAGAGGTTACTTTTGGGCCATCGCAGGCGCCTCAGACACGGAGGAAGAGCAGGGTGGAGAGTGGGCATTCAGGGGTCCGGTGGAGGGGGTGAGAGGAGGAGATGGGCTGCCTCCCATCATACCAGACTGGGCCATCTGCTGCTTGAGCTGGGCGATGGTGTGCTCCAGCTTCTCTCGCGCCTCTCGTTCCCGGTGCAGCTCCTCCTGCAGCTCCTGCCGGTCGGCCTCGGCCCGCTCCAGCCTCTGACGCAGCTCCAGCAGCTGGGAGGACAAGCAAAAACAATAACATCAAGACACTTCTGGTTCAGCATCAAATGTCTAAAGCTGTTAACTGTAAGGTAAAATTATGTCATCATTTCCAGTTATGTATTATTCAACCAGCCGCCCAGACAGGAGGTGATAGTGCAGCTCTGAGCTCCAGCCAACACAACACAGCCTGCTGAGATTAAATCTGGTGGAAACCTAAACAACAGCCCTGAGTGACTCACTCAAGGGAAAATTAATCATATCTGGAAAATCCACAAGAGAAAGAGCAAAATGCTCTTCCCTTTATTCTAAAGGGCGTAATCGGAAGGTTGCGGGTTCGAGCCCCGCTCAGTCTGTCGCTGTCGTTGTGTCCTTGGGGCAAGACACTTAACCCACGTTGCCTGCTGGTGGTGGTCGGAGGGACCGGTGGCGCCAGTGCTCGGCAGCCTCGCCTCTGTCAGTGCGCCCCAGGACAGCTGTGGCTACATTGTAGCTCATCCCCACCAGTGTGTGAATGTGTGTGTGGATGGGTGAATGACTGATTGTGTTGTAAAGTGCCTTGGGGGGTTTCAAGAACTCTAGAAGGCACTATATCAAATACAGGCCATTTACCATTTATCTAAATATAACAATATACAAAAATAAAATAGAAAAGTAATTAAGTGTTGATATTTTAGGAGCAACTTTCCTCTCGTTTGATTTTCCCAGATTTAAAAAAAGCACACTAATCTAATATTTGTAATTCACTTATACTTTTAAAAACAGATATTGCTCCAAGCCCGTACCTGTGCCGTGTAATGAGCCTCTTGCTGGCGCTGAGTCCCCAGTTCGCAGGCGCAGGCCTGCTGTCGGAGCTGCTCCAGACGGGTCTCCAGCTCCAGCTGCTCCTGGCGAGCCTGGCTGAGCTGCCGAGTCTGCTCGTTGTGCACCGCCTCCAGCTCGCTGCGTAGCTCCCGCTGCTCGGCACTCAACTCCCGTAGCCTCGCCGCTTCGCCCCCTCGCAACGCCTCCAGCTCCTGAAGACACACAGTCGAGGGGAAATTACAATATTAATGTGACACTGTGCTGACCCCTGCAGGAAGAACACTATAAAAAAGGCTGAAGTTTGATGCCACAGAAGGGTCAGAGCCGCCCAAATCCTGACCGAATCCAAAACTGTGCGTTTATAACCTCTGACACACATTTTCATCTATTCAGTGGGAGGGCAGCTTGTAATAACGGGCAAAAAAAAGAAGTGGAAAGAAATAAATGTGTACATAATTTAAAATAATACAATTTGCTGATGGATTCACTCCAAGTCCCAATTAAATAAAGACATTTGAAGCTGTGAACAGCAACAGTTCTGTTTTCATGAACTTTAAATAATGTAATTTACTCTATATGGTCTACTAGCTTATACTAAAACCAGCCCAGGTGTGTCATGTGACTGGAGGAGGAGATGGAGGGGGTTGGTGGAAGGCGAGCATCACCTCCACATCAAGGACACTTCTAACGACGGGAATCGTCACAGTCCCTTTAATCCTGCCACAATTTATCTTTCCCGCCGCCCGACTCACCATTTCCAGCTGCAGCTGCTTATGCAGGGTGGAGTTGAGCTTCTCCTGCTGCCTGCTGTACATCTGCATGATCTCCACCACAATCCTGTCCTTGTCGTCTTCCAGCCCCCCCACTGCTGCTGCAGCGGCAGAGCTCGTGTCCTTCGCCGCTACTTCCGCTTCCGATGACAACATCGACACCGACGAGGGAGGTGGAGGAGGAGTGTGGGAGGGGATGTGGGTGGCTTTCCTGCAGCTTGGGCTGCTCGTCTCCATGGAAACTGCCAGGGTTTGGCATTCTCGCTCGGTGGCCGAGGCAGCGGCGGCACTTTGGGATTTAGCCTCCTCAATGGGAGCGGCGACGGGAGGAGAGGCATGGAGATCTGAGGAGCGAATGGAAAGGAGAATGAAGGAAAAGATAAAAAAATAAAGAGGAAGTGGCTGAAAGGCGAGTGTCGTGTCAGCGCACACTCCCTCACATGCTTAGTAACGCCTTCACACAACCTCATAAAAGCTCAAACTTCTTCCTAAACGAAAGCACTCACACACACACACACATCCACATGGCAACAGCAAATACTCGCCCACAAATTCTCTGTACTTTTGCCCTCAGACACACAGAAAAAGAATAAAGGCCTTGTGTAGGAGCGCTGCTCCACTCTGCATAAACTCCTTGTTTCTTTAAGCTCTGGTTTGCTCCCTTACTGTGGTCTGTAGATTCTGCATCATGGGAATCAATAGGTGGGATGGTAATTTGATTTGATTCTGAGACTTTCATTTAAATTAGATTCTCTTTTCGAATAAGTCTGGGAAAGGCCTCCACACGCCCGAGTGAGACCGCTGTCACCGCCTGAGTTCACAAAAGGTGTTTAAATACGTGTTTTTGTAAAGCAAAACAATTTTTCACAGGTAATATACATCAGGTTTCCTATAAAGAGTTCATGTTTTTTCACAGAATAGAGGGAGATGAAAGGGGGAGAAAACACAACAATAAAGAGATGAAAAAAGTAGAGCTCACAGCAGGAGAAGAGGAGTGGGAGGAGGGTTTGACAGCAGAGTGAGAGGGAGAGGAAAGAGACAAAGATGGATGGAAGAGAGGAGGAGTACGGGAACAGACGGAGAGCCGAATCAGAGAGGACGGAGAGTTGGCTGCCAGGAAAACAGAGAAGGAGGACAGATAGAAGGCAGACAGATTGGTTAGAGGAGGGAGAAAGAGATGGAGGGCAGCCTGGCAGTCAGACGTTGCGTTAATAATGACAGACGGAAATCGTTCCTGTGATTCATCCTCTGTGTCTCCACAGATAGGTCACTGCTGCTTCCACAGCACTGTTCATCGATAGTCAGGAGCCCGCAGAGCTGTAATATGAAGGTCAACGAACGATTCTGTGCATCACTTCAGGCTGCAAAGTGTGTGTGTGTGTGTGTGTGTGTGTGTGTGTGTGTGTGTGTGTGTGTGTGTGTGTGTGTGTGTGTACTGTATGTTTACAGTAAGCATGTGTCAACTCTGAGTGAGTTGTGTGAACTTGATCTGTCAGTCATTTCTGCTTATGCTGCATGTAGACAGCTGCTGCTTTCTGCATTGATTTCAAGTATTTATAGTAGATGTGCGTCAGACTGTGTCTGATACACACACACACACACACACACACACACACACACACACACACACACACACACACACACACACACACACACACACACTAGCTCAAATTAGAAATGATTTAATGGGGAAAAATCTATTTTTTCCCCGCTATTTTATAAGGAATTAAAAAAAATTGTTCAAACAAAAGCTTTTTTTTTTGTCAAACACAACAAAAAAATGAATTTTAGATTATATTTATATATGTGTCGTCCAAACAGACAAAACATATCTGATGAATAATTTACAGGTAAAAGTAAATGAGTAAGTATTTGGGAAATGTCAGTATATATTTATAATTTCATCTGAATTTCATGGAATGATTTGTTGTTGTGTGTTTAAAGCCTTTATTACTCATACCCAGTGTTTACGGCTTTGTTTACTGATGGAAAGAGCGACCTAAATATTAAAGGTCACAGATGACTCAGCAGTTTTAAAGCACATTTGCTAATGTTTAATAGATATTATTATAAATTACTAAATTTTTTAAGCTCAGAAAGAAGTTATTAAGTAAAATCAGATTTCCTCAGCAATAATAATCATGTAAAAGTTAATTACAGGAACATGAAACTGGACTTTTACCTGATTTCTGGTGTTATTTACTGTCTAAATCTTTCTACAGGTTTTCTTAAATTTATGGTAATTTTCTGTATTATTCTTTCCTTTTACTATTTATAGCCTAGTTTTTACACTAAATATTTTAAAATTTCCAGTTTAGCAAGTTCCATTGGTCATCATCACACACTGGTGTAACTGCTCCCCAGGGGGAGCGGTGAGCTGCAGCAGCGGCTGTCCTCGGGAACTATTTGGTGGTTTAACCCCTCAAACCAACCCCTTAAAGCTGAGTGTCAAGCAGGGAGGCATTGGGTCGCATTTTTAAAATCTTAGGTATGATTTGAACTCCGATCTCCCAGTCCCAGGGCGGACTCTACCACTAGACCACCAAGAAGGTGCATAAGCAAGTTTCCTTCAAAGAAAGTGACATTAAATCATTCTTCTCAGACTTATCCTCATTAGGAATCACATTTTCTATACTGGACAGATTTTTTTTACTCTCCTATAATTAATGGTTGTTGAGCGTGTCATTACTGACCCATGGGCGGCTCATCGTGGCCCAGAATTCGGCGACTGTAGTGATGTTTGAGGAGCACACCGAGCATCTCCGGGCTCATCTCCGCCTCCCTCCTCAGCGACACGTTGGGAGCCACCATCTTATCGTATGTGTACAGGTAGTAGCTGTCACAAAGAAGCACACAGAGAGAAAGAGACACTTAGAAATGGTTTGTTTAACAAGATTTTAGTACTCTGTATTCTAATCGAACGGCTATCGGTGATTTATGTCCCTGTCCAACGAACGTATCTGAACAATCTTTGATTGGCATCAGTTTTAACTTAAAGCAACATCTGAAGTCGGGAGCACAAACAGGATCTGTCGACAGGATCTCACTCTTAACAGACCTTCAGCTCATCACTGATGTCCAGGTAGTGGTCCAACTGGGAGAGACGCACTGCCTGGAGATGCAGTGAAACCATTAAAAAACATGTTCAGTTTATTCTAGCTTTGGACCCCTCCCCCGTTCAGTCAGTAGGACCCTCCAGACAGCGCTGAGGCTTGAGCAGTGAACTAGGCTAAGCCTGACAGCCCAGTGGGCCTCTGCGTGAAACGCTAAAGCAACCATGTCTTCCTCTGACGTGGACGAAAATGACGGACTGCAGGTTTGCAGGAGCATCAAGCAACCCAGATGAGATCGATTTGATGTTTGCAGCAAACTAAATATGACTGAGTGTTATCTGAGGGTCTTTTATTATATTTTAAACAATGACTGGTTTGAAGTAGCAAGATGCTGGCAGGTGATCACGGCGTTAATCCTCCTCCATTTAGTCTGGTCTGATGTCTGCAAGCCTTCACAAAGCATGCCAAGGGCCGGTCACATGTAGTAACAGCACTATAAACCCTCTAATTCCAGGTTTTAATCTGGGGCAGATTATTGCTAAAGATTTGCTAAAACTGAGCCATATTCAAACAAATGGTGGTGCCACCCGCGGACGGAAATGAGAGCCGGAAGGAAAGAAAAAGGAAGGAGGAAGAAAGACTCACAGGAAAAAGAGCAGAAGAGTGGCGGCATTATCTTGAAAAAACAAAAAGGATGAAAATGAAAATAAAGTCAAACAGAAACTTAACAGAGGAGTAGAAAAACCACCTCAGATCAATGTTTTTCCAAAGGTGCAGCTTCTGGCTTGTACGTGAACAAAGTTCCGGGTTGTTTACAATGGCAGCTTCTAATCTTCTCTCGGACAACCACATAGAAGCTAGCCACCATCGTATCTAAAGCCATCACATCTTAATGATCACAACTGAACCTTTGGGCTGTCTGTGCAGCACTTCATTTGCTGCCATTTGAAAAACACATTACTACAAACTGTAAAAAACCTGCTTCGATTGACCGTTGGTTGGAGATGAATGGACACAGGTGGAGTGTAATACCTGGGATGGACCAGGGTGGGGTGTCCTGGCTCCTCCTTGATGTCTGTGAAAAGACGGTTGAACACCAGAGTGGGCGGAGTCGGTTTGCCCTGCAGAAAACCAAACACACACACAAACATCACATTAAAAAAACAACGTTATGATGAAAAATGTGTTCATCTATTAATAAACTTCCTGGTTGAATAGACGAATCACTATAATGCAGCTGAACCACACACACACACACACACACACACACACACACACACACACACACACACACACACACACACACACACACACACACACACACACACACACACACACACACAATTATAAAAGCAAACAGCAGGAGGAGAGGGGAATGTGTGCCATCTCTTGAAGCTATAATCTAATGAAGCTAATATATGCATGCATAGATGGGATGCGCGTGAGGGATTACCCATCAGGCATCAGCTGAGACACTGAGCACGACTCAGAAGAGAAGATAATCGAGATAAAGAGCTTCTTCTCTGCATGTTAACTTGTGTGTGCTGCGGTGGGGTGAAGGAGGGTGGGCAGAAGGGGTGAACTTTGTTGTGTGTGATGGCCTGTGTGTGTGTGTGTGTGTGTGTGTGTGTGTGTGTGTGTGCGGAGGAGGGTGATGGAAAGGCACATGAATGTTTACAATAAAGGAAACAACTACTGACCTTTCTCGCAGGCTCAGCCTCGGCTAACTTGTCGCCGGCGGAGCAGAGATCTACCGAGGACTTCCTCAGCTGAATCTCCTCTTCCTCCCCTGACTTCTGAAGGGCAAAAAGACAACACAGTCTAACAAACCATCCTCAAAAGAAGGACAGAGCACAGAATAGATTTGTTATCACACTTTTGAAGAACCATAAATGACTGAGTCTGTTCAAAAGCGAGAGGTAAAGAAAGTCTCGGAGTCACAGAGGGAAATGAAAATGATAAATGACATTTAAAAAAAGATTTATATGAGGGGGAATGCAACAAATTGCATTAGAGGTTGAGTAGCAGTCAGTGAATCAAGAGGATACTGTGCAAGAGGAGGAAAAGGCAAATCTGCAGAGCAAGGCCTTTGAATAAAACACAAGTTATGCATGACCTGCCATCCTCTGTGTTTGATTTACCTGTAACTCAGTCACACACACCTGCACATCTCAACATTTTGAAGTCCTCATGTCAGCGTCTTAGCCTCTTGAGGGGCCTCCTGTTAGTCTGTTTGCACCTTTCTGATTCTTTTTTTCTTTTTTTGTATTTAAAGGAAAGACAGGGCACGCTCCACGAGAGGCCACAAACTGACAAGAGTCGATGCCTATCGGAAGCAGACGAGCTTCTCAACACACACACACACACACACACACACACACACACACACACACACACACACACACACACACACTTTGAAGTGAACTGGCAGATAGTGCAGACACCAGAGACACGAGAATTTCCAGCATTGGATTATGCACTGCTAGGTAGCCGTCCGCCACGAATGAAGGATAGAGGAGAGGGGGTGGGAAGAAGAGGAAGAGGAGGAGGAAGAGACAGAATTTGATGGAAAGCTAAAACGGTGAACAGAAAGAGGAATTGGAGACGGGTTGTAGAAAGCATCAATAAACTTAACTTTTAAAGATGTCTATAAACACACATGCACACACTGAACATTAAACCTTTATCTGATTTTCCTCAGGGATGCAGCCGGCAGCTTATGTCTGAATTATTTACCATTTTATCATTCAGACATATTCAATTAAAAAAGAGAAGATATGGAGGTTCCTTCTCAGCTCCTTTCAGCTGCTTCTTCCTAAATTGCCTTGATCAGAGAGTGTGTGTGGGTGTGTAAGACAAACACACACAGGTCATCTAGAGGTCCTTTATATGCTTGACCCCTTCTCCCCATGACAGCAGACACGCTGTCGCTGAGACAACGGCAGCCCATTAGGAGTGTGTGTATCTTTATCTGTGAGGACCAATTAGAAACAGACTTAGTTTTATGTTTCAGACAGAAATGAAAGCATGTGGAAGAATAGAGGACACATGTATCTGTGAGCACGCATGTCCACATACAGGCGCTAGTCTCATACGCAATAATTCCAGCTCACCTGATAGCTTTATGCCCAACGCCTACACAAGGCCCCCCCCCCCCCCCCCCACACACACACACACACACACACACCCATGCTCATTATCACTGCTGGTCTCTGTTCCTTAATGAATGTTTGCACATTTCAGCACAACTGCTTTCCTCTGCTACTGCTCCTCTCCCACCCCCACTTTGCTTTATTAACACACACACACACACACACACACACACACACACACACACACACACACACACACACACACACACACACACACACACACACACACACACACACACACACACGGCTGCTACTCACTGCTAATCTGCTCTAACGAAGCACTTCTCTTATCTGGGTTGTGTCTGCGACACACATATGCACACGTGTAGTGCACACAAACAGCCCTTAACCCCAGCGGGTCTCCGGCCCTTTGTCGGGCCGAGGCTCGACTCCTGACAACGTGGATTAGCATTCCATGCACTCGCTCTGATGAACTCTGCCCTGTTGTTCCTAATCACCAGCGGTCCGCCTGCTGCTGCTTCTGCAGCTATGCTCATCCAGTGCAATGAAACCCTCCGCTCCAGACACAAACATGTGAACTCTCACAATGACCCACTTCCAGAGCCTCTCGTTTAGACCCCCTCCTGACCGTCAGTGCACGTGACATTTCTGCAGCAGATGTACTAATGTAGCAAAAAGTGCTTTTTGAGTGCCGTCAAATCCAAACTGTGCTGCACTCATCCATAACTCCACATTACCATAAACACTCTGAGAAAACAGGCACAGTAGAATCACTTGAGCCACATCTTTGCATCTCTGCTGAGTGACACCTGCAAAGCACAAACATTTAACTTTTGCACCTGTGTGCTTTTTCCTTTTAGTCTGAAAGTGACATCAAATGGGATGTTTAAAATGTTTTGCAAACAGAATATATACATGTAAATCGAAATTTTGCAGTTTTTTATTTATTTATTTTTTGGTCTTAACCAGTTTTAGGTTACAAATGTAACAGAGTGTCATCCACGTGCAACTGATTTCTGCTTGAGGTGCAAAACACTCCAGAGGATACAAACAGTTTCTACTCTCTTCTTGGACTGTGTGTTCCTCTAAAGATGAAGGTGCCACTGACACAGACTGACACACTGGCAAACAGCGCGCAAGCTAGTCTGCGGTCATGCTCTCCTCCTCCCGGTCACGTGGATGCTCCAGATGACTGCTGTTGCACAGTAACACACACACACACGCGCGCAACGTTACTCTCGGCTATAAATACACATGCTGTCTCCTTACATGCATAATGAAACATGCAAAGTTCTCAGAACACACACACACACACACACACAGACACACACTCATCTACTGACTAAAGTGCAGCACTTTCTAATGGAGTGAACTTTTCAATTATTTAAAATTAAATTAGGAGGAAATAAAATGTACTTCTTTAGTTTTTTTCTTGCTTTCCTTTTTTAGAAGAATATCTAAAAGTTTAAGATCAGGTAACTGATGCCCAGGTGAAACGGTAAAACACTTTCAGGATATAAACACACACACACACACACACACACAAAACAAGTCTCGACAAGCCTGATGGCAACTGTTATCAAGGGCACAATAAAGCTTTGGCCTGACCTTTCATCTCAAACCAGTGGATTCGTTTGTTTGTGAGTGATGTTAAAATCCCTTCTGAAGCTCAAAATACGAACTGTTATGTTCACATCTGTTTAAACCTTAGCATCACTGGCTGGGAATAAAAACTGAAACGCACCACTGGCAGGCACTACAACCCCCCACTCGCCCCATTTTCAGGACTGTGAGGCAGAGGAGTCTTAGCGGCGGAGCAGCTCATTCTTCTTCTTTACCCCTGCAGGAGGAAGTAAGCCGCCTTTATTTGGGTGCAATCTGCTGCAGACAGTTAAATGGAAATTGGAGAAGGACATGTACAGAGCCGCTCAGTGAGACACTCGGTCCCACCCCGTCTGTGTGTCTGTCTGTTTCCAAACCACATCCTGTTCTGCTGCAGTCATGAACTGTGTCAAAGATCAAACTGAAGAGTCAAACACTTCCTGCTTGATTCATCCAAAACAAAAATACAGGAGATGCCAGAGTAAACGATGTAAACATTTATGCCTCTATTAGTCATTTCCTCCTTAAAAGATTTATATTGGTGAAAATATGTGTGTGTGTGTGTGTGTGTGTGTGTGTGTGTGTGTGTGTGTGTGTGTGTGTGTGTGTGTGTGTGCGTGTGTGTGTGCGCGTGCGTGTGTGTGTGGGTTACTGGGGTCCTGCCCTCTGGAGGTCCCACTGGCACACCCCATAGACACTAGGGGCTTTTATAGGAAAGTCTTAATCCAATAAGCCATTTATCCATGGACTGGGAGCCACGCTTTGTTTCAACAGCCAAATCAATAAAAACCCACAAGGGAACCAGGCAGTAAAGTGGGGCAATTAAAGGAATATCTTCCTGTTGTTTTTTTGTTGTTGTTTTTTTCTACAAGATTCTTGATTAACACTGTGAAAGAATACAACTGGACTTTGTTTCGGATCTATATGTTCAGTTCTTCACTAGTTCTCAGAAAAACGCCTGGCCTTGTCAAACGCACAGGGCAGGCTGAGTACAAGATCTTTTATTTTCCTCTCGCTTTGGCCTTGCACAACGAGATAAGAGATCATAAAACACAGAAGCCCCCGGGACGAGGACAGGTTTGACAGGTGGCCGGTCAGACAATCATGTGACGAAGGGAGGGGGGTTAAGCAAAGAGCCAAGACAAATAAGGAGACAGACAGACAGACAACATGTGACTGTCAGCCTCTGTCCTCAGAAAGACACACACAGAGAGGGCAGATAAGGACACGTACCTCAGAAATGTGCCTTGGCTTCAGGCACCGAGTACACTTTTTGTAACACAAGGGCCCTGAGTCTAGACGGCCAAACATGCACACTCGTCCCTCCTCCACACTAAAGTGTTAAGCTCCCTCCTGCACAGCTAGAGTTCCAGTCAGCCATCTTACAAACATGTTAGCTAAAAACCAACGGGCCACAGTCTGATGAGAAATTATAGCAGAAAAGAAAACTAGTTATAAAAGCAGAGATGAGGAATCAACTCTTTGCTTACAACACTTCCCTAAAAAGCATCTCTTCATTTCATTCATTCAAGCTTTCTATTCATTCTCCTCTCCTTCCTTCTTTTTTCTTGCTCCAGATAGGGATTTCTCTTACAGATAGAGTGAGACGCTCGGTCATCCGGGAGGGGCTCGGAGTAGATCCACTGCTCCTCCACATTGAGAGGTGCCAGTTGAGGTGGCTCGGGCATCTAGTTAGGATGCCTCCTGGACGCCTCCTTGGTGAAGTTTTCCAGGCACGTCCAACCAGGAGGAGACCTAAAGGAAGACCCAGGACACGCTGGAGGGACAATGTCTCTCACCTGGCCAGGGAACGCCTTGGGATTCCCCTGGAAGAGCTGGCCCAAGTGGCTGGGGAGAGGGAAGTCTGGGCCTCTCGACTTAGGGTGTGGCCCTCACGACCCGACTCCGGATAAGCAGAAGAAAATGGATGGATGACAGATTGACCAACAGCACCCCGCTGCAGTGATGAAACATCACTTCAAGACACTTTGAGATGTACTTCCCCTAAGGATGTTGCATCATAGGCAAAAAGTACCATCGGTGTGAAGCAGAGTGCATTCTTACAGACGGCTTTTACTGCT